TGGATGTGTTGATATTGGCTTCCACTAATAATCCCACTACTTACCTATAATTAGATGTGGGTTACAGGGACATGTCACATGCTTATTAAGTGTGCTGCAAAATATATATATATACTGTGATGCCCATTCATTATATATAATATCTTCCATTGTATATATAAACGAGTACCTGGTAGTATTTGACATGTCCCTATAGACTTAAGGTTATGGAATTATGCACTATAGAAATATTCAAATTTCAAATATTTCATATCAATATGGATTGAGTGTCGGTGCTATATATTTAAAAAAAAAACTGTTCAAAACAGTTGATTCTCAAACAGAATTTGTTCTGTATCAAAAAAAAAAATGTTTTTGGGCTGAAATATCTATCCTAGATGTTATTATTAAAAAGAGTTATACAATACTTATCCACAAGTTTTTGAGTCTTGAACCCAAATGTTAAGCACATGTATCAGTAAACTGAATATTTCTCTTGGAATCTGCTTCAAACTTTGGGGGAAAAGTCCTATTTGTACCATATGCTCCCCTGAGTGATAAAATTAATTTGGAAAAGGAACTGAAATACAAGACATTCTTCATTTTTGAAATTATATCTAAGTTCCCTAAGTTTATGATCTAGTGCCAGTCACTTTTCATAAATAAAGATGATGAGATTAATTTAATATAATAAAATAACCTTGCTATAGTGATATGTACACATATATAGTATAAATATATTTTATTATGAATTTTTTCTTGGACTTAAAATTAACCTAGAGAGGTCAAGTTAGATCAAATGTAAAAATAAGCAGTTAATGTCCTGGGTATAATAAATTGTATTTCATTATAAATATTCTTCGTGTATTTTAGATTTGCTTATATCTGGTAGATTGCAAGATTCTATACCACCAGGTCTAAATTAACATATAGGACAGTCTTTGAAAAATGGGACAAAATCTAAACAAGCTACTTGGGGTGGGCGACTCACTGAGGGTAGGTTAACTAATTTGATTGGTTTGGAAGAACACTGAACAGATGTACATGTCCTTTACCTGTTAACTCACAAAATACATGAACACAAACTTTAAACCATGAATTTATAACACAGGAAAATCAGCAGAAATCAATAAATTTTGCTTACAACAAAGAAGACAAGTGATGTGAATGATAAATGTTGAATCAACTAACTCAGCTTAGCTTTCTGACATCAACTATAAGACAAGACCTCATTAATAATATAAACCAAACCCCTCCCCCCTCCCCAAATCAAACCAAACTAGAATTCTTCAACGAGGCTGTGTACGAAAAATAACATAAATCAAGATGAATTTTAAAATCTCACTTTATATTTGAGTATGTGGTGACTGATTATGACAATATTTCTGCGCTCTTACCGAGTTTGGCATCATTACACCTTCACAATATAAATCCTCAGCAAACTACTTTCATTTGTCTCATTCTGGTTGAAAATGACGTACAACAGATTAATAAATGACAGTGATTCTCACTAATAAGAACTATATCTAAACCTTTGGATTTTAGGCCAACGAAACTAAATTGTCATTTGAATAAATAAACATGTAGCAACTTCACAGACATTTTCTAAGTTCTCAATGGCTCTTTAGAACACTCGAGTTTCTTTCGGAAAAGTTTATAACTCTGGATTATTCCAGCCATTTTAGAATATATTAATGTGTGATTCCTAACACTAATATTTTAAAATGTATGCGTAAATATAATAATTAATATTTGAATATATCAACTAAAATTCTATATTGGTGTTAGTTATACTTCCTGTTGAAAAATAAGCTAGTTTTACACAGCTCCCGTTTATCGGACTCGTGATCTAAGTACAACGGGAGCAGTCATTTTCAAACATTTCTTCTTTGTCGGTCTCGCGAGAGTCTCGTTCTTTATAAGATATCTCATAAACTTTTCTTTATAAGATATCTTATATCTTTTATGAGATATCTTATATAATATATAAGATATCTTATAAAGAAAATTAATTGAGATATCTTATAAAAGATATAAGATATCTTATATATTATATAAGATATCTTATAAAAGATATAAGATATCTTATAAAGAAAAGTTTATGAGATATCTTATATCTTTTATAAGATATCTTATATCTTTTACAAGATATCTTATAAAGTATATAAGATATCTTATAAAAGATATAAGATATCTCATAAACTTAAAATAAGATATCTTATATGTTTATAAGATATCTCATATGTTTATAAGATATCTTATATAATATATAAGATATCTTATATAATATATGAGATATCTTATATAATTTGGTTAAGTACTGGATCAACATTGCTCCATGAATAAATGACAACTTGGCTTGCCATATAAAACGTATACAATGTATTATGAGGTGAAACGTTAATGCATATTTTCCTAATTAGAGTAATAACTTCATGTGTTCACAACATTGATTTGATTATAAATTACCAGAAAGCATATTCAGTTCATATATTAAACTACGGGTGAATTTATAGAGTATCGGTTGTTTCATCCAGTGAAACGTTCTATCCTTGCATAGTTTATACTCATGGCCCCTTGTAACAGTATTGTTCTGCTTTTGTGACATGAACTGGGACACTTCGGGATTATATTTTCCTGTCATTAATTTTTAAAAGTTCTATCATGTCTCCCCTGACGCGTCTGTTAGTCAATGTTGGGAGCTGCAATAGCTCAAGTCTCTCTGGTTAGGACAGGTCAATCATACACTATATATACCCTATATATACCCCTATATATACCCCTATATATACCCTATATATACCCCTATATATACCCTATATATACCCCTATATATACCCTTTATCTTTCTCGTTCGCGGTTAACGGAAGTTCCTTACCATCTTCTAGGTTATACGTGAAGTTAATGCTATCGGGTTTTTTTCTTTTCTCATGGCTTTGCATTTGTCCGGATGTGAGTAGAATAGCCACTTGTTATCCCATTCCTGGGCCTCCCTGTATAGCCTCGCAGTCCTGATTGTTCGATACTGACCAGTACAATTTCGTATCGTCAGCGAATAGGTATGTTCTTTTTATTATGATTGTTATTTTCAGTAGGTCGTTGATATACAACGTATGACACAAATAGGAATGGTTCAAGAACAGATCCCTGTGGAATGTCACTATTTCCATTGACCGTTGTTTCAGCTGTTTTAAAATATGTCCCGTGAATCCATACATACTCATTGTATGGACATGTCTGCGATTGGGGACTTTATCAAAAGCCTTCATGAAATCGCAATAAAGCACATCAATACATCTTCCCTCGTCATGACTTTACATCCATTCATCAATCACTTGTATAAGTTGAAGTACGGTGGATCTTCCTTGGAGGAATCCAAATTGTTCATTACTGAAGAGTTTGTTATTTTGCATGTGATTTATTATTGATATAGAAGTATTATATGTGATAACGGTTGGCTTATGACAGAACTTATTTATTTTAATACGCGAGGATGAATATTATCTGGGACTGGGGGTTTCGACGCTTTAAGCTCCCCAGCGGTTTTAACGACAACGTTGGGACCTATTACTACATATTCTCCGTAATACGGTCTAAACGTGGCATGTCGTCCTCTGATTCTTTGTAAATACGGAAGTGAAGGGCACCTCTGCCTTTTCTTTGTCACTTTAGGTGACATGGTCCTCGTGACCTATGTACAAGTCCGATACATTTGTCCTTCTTTTGGTTTTAGACTAAACATAATTCCAGAATGTTTTCGGATTTGTTGTCGCGTTACGTTTTATCGCTCCTTGTATTTAGAAATATTGTCCATAGACGCTGTTTCCCCTTATTTTTAGCTAGTGTAGTTTAATTCCGAACACTCGTTATCACCCCCATGGAAATTTCAAAAAGTTGGCAAGTATGGACTTGATTTGTCCAGTGGTACCACATGACGTGTCATTTGTAGAACTGTGCTTGACCTCCGTATTAGGATACACCTATCAGTGGCGTTTTGGAGCTTATCTCTAAAATATGTCCATTGTAAATTTGAGGCACCTTTGAATGATTCAAGTTCCTCTAACCATTTAATAGACTATAGTTCTTTCGCGTGGTTATATTTTCCTTTGTCGTACATATATCTGGTTTTGTTCTTTTCTGTTGTTGTATAGACATTGAGTTTCAACTGCATTAGCGAGTGGTCACTTTTACCTATTGGTGCCTGATTGTCAATATCGCTGACCATTCCTTCCTCATTGGACAGAACTAAGTCCAATACGTTTGGTGTATTCTGTGCCCTTCCTCTTGTAGGAGTCCTGATGTGCTTTTGTAGGAAACAGTCTCGAAGGGTCACAACATATTCAAGTTAAATTCATAGCTATTTATTCGTCCTTTAATAGTGTTGTTATCCCGGTTTATACCGAGGAGATCGGCAGAGCCTCGGGTTAGACTTTTTTTGACAACCAAAAAGCATCACCCCTCGGGTTAGATATTTCTCTGTCACACCCTCGGGGTAGGAGAAGATTCTTTTATTCTGTCAGAAGATTGTATGGCCGAATGTGCCCCGCCTTAGGGCAAGTTCGGACAGACAGTCTGGGGTAATTTTGGTCTACGTTGGAAAAAGCATAATTATGACGTCATAAAGCATGCAGCGTCAGATTTTCCCGCCAACTTCACAACTTTTTATGTATTGCATGGGTCGACCTTGCCGCTGTATCATTGGCCGAACCTATCCGAAATTGATATTTACAAAAGACAATGCTAACCACCATGTGAAGACGTTTGTAAACATATTACATCAGTATATTCGACAGTCACACTTGTCAAAATGATTCAGAGAAGCAAAACTGTTTATTTAATATACATGTAGATCTACTGTATATCAAGTGTCAACATTGAGATATTTTTGTACGGTTGATATCCATGTAAATGCTATAAAATTTGTATCAATGGCAAAAAAGTACGGGTTGTGTTAAAAAGGGCAGATGCTACTGATCCGGATATTGCATCAGTTCCTGGTTTCATTATTAGTGTATTCGAAACCAATTCCGGCCAAAGTCGTCTGCTAAAGACGCTTATTCGAAATCAAATGAACTGTTCTATTACATACTTCATGTGAATTTAGTATCTGAAACTTCTGTTAAACTGTGAAAAGTAGCCAAATTTTCTGCTTCTGCCATCGGACAAAATGTAAGTTTTATGGATTTGGTCCGAAAGGGCATGGCCACACAGTGACAGTGTCTCATAAACCACTTGTTTTTGTTTGACATATCAATAAAACTTCTGTATCTGTTCTGGTAAAATAGAGAGAGAAAAAAATGTGGACAAACCATACATAAATTGATAATTACTTTTAAAATATTACCTTAAATGTTATTGTAATTACATTTTAAAGCAAGGTGATGTCCTGCTCCCTGGATTGTTAAAACAAAATGAGCCAAATGAATGGAGCAGAAGCTAATGAGCCAAGCCAGAAGGAGGGATATTTGGCCCAGGTGTTCAGACAGCTTGTTCATACTTTGGAGAGAAACAATGTTGTCATGGAACAGGTCATAGAGCAGCTGGGTCAGGGAGACAGAAAAGTCCAAAAGTCAGGAAGTTGTATATCCACAGCCAGTTGCAGCAAGGCAGCAGTCATCAAACGAGGGGAAAAGGTGCTTTAAAGAAATCAATACACAAAAAAAAGACAGATAACTCTGGAGTTCCATTCATCAATACTCCAGGGGTTACGCTAGATAACTCTGGAGTTCCCATCATCAATACTCCAGGGGTTACGCTAACTTAATTAGCTCACTGTCACCCTGGAATATGTCATGACAAAATTGAAGGCACAAAGATGACTATTTGATCAAGGTATCTGGTCAAAAAAATCAAAAAAATCGCAAGGCTCATACCTCCTAAGATTATAGAGGAGTGACTTCTGACTTCAAAGCTACCACTGTCACACTATTCTTTACATTCTGTACATCAATGGATCAAATTAGTCTTCTGTATCATCCACAAGGTGTGCACATAGTGATACATATATAGACTTCAGAGTTTTTATGCCATATTCAAGGAAACAGAGAGTATTAGTAAGTGAAACCCCTGGAGTATTATGGATGCAGGGTTCCAAATTAACATATATATATGTGAAGCGGAACTGGACTGGGTCGATCGTCGGCGACCAGAAAGCTCAATTGGTAGAGCATCTGTCTAGAGTTCGGAGGGTCCCTGGTTCGAACCCCAGTCTGGCCGTTCATTTTTCCTCTCCTGTTACATTTAGCGCCCAACGAAATATACCCACACAAAGTGGTATAGGGTCTCGTGTGTCTTCGGGGTCGAAGACTTAGTTAAAGGAGGGAGGAATGTAGCTGAATTGGAATGGGTCGATCGTCAGAGACCAGATAGCTCAATTGGTAGAGCATCCGTCTTGAGTTTGTAGGGTCCCGGGTTAAAACCCCTGTCTGGCCGTGCATTTTTCCTCTCCTGTTACATATGTTCTAGCAATTGTTTTCTCGATGTTAGTGCTCAAGGAACATTTCCTCTGTTGAGTGCTGTTACTTACATATCATGCCCTTATGGCAAAGAAACAGGTTTCTACATAGTTTTAAGCATCATACTGTCAACATTCTTTCTTTGACTGCTTTTTGAAGTCCTGAGGAATGAGATAGGTTACAATGTCTGTTTTTCAAAACTGAAAGGAGGAGTGGGGGAGTACTTGATCTTGGCTTTTTAGCCCATCAAGCAGGGTTAAGAGGATATGTTCTCCTAGTCTATCTTAAGGTTGATCTTAAAAAGGATTGAAGAAATGATTAGATTTATCATTGAGAGTTACAAAGATGGGATTTGAGGAGTATGAGGGCTTGCTGTTTGCTGTGAGAAAAATACACATTCAAAAGTTATGTCAATTATTTCTAAAAAATAAAAATGAGGTTTGTAATCAAAGTCTTATGGCATTCTGATTCAACTGAACACTCCTCCCTTTTCCTCTTCATCTTCAAGTTTTGCAGCCCATGGTCATCATATTTTGTTGAATCAGAGAATGACTGTATTATCAGGATTCAATATGTGGTGCAAGATAGTTCTATATACATTTTATGCATCAGTTTGTTTTACCTATTTATCAGGGTTTCAAATGGATTTTTTTTTATATATATTTTGTTGTTCAAACTATTGAGGGTGTATTAATGCTTTGTTCCAGACCAATATCACTAGGGTTTCTCAGAGTGTGTTGTAGTATTAATAATAAGCAAAATTGCCTTTGACTTGGGTTTTTTCTATCTTCTAACACTTATTTATCATTTGTTTTGATGGTTTCTTTTATACTTTGTTTTTCTCTTGATTTGAGGAACATTTAATTTCATCAGTAACAAATTTGGTGTTTCAATCTGACATTTTATTAATGAACCACAATGAGATCTAAATTAGATGATAGTTAAAGATTAAGTGCTTTTTCAGTATTAATTGCTGAAGATATTTTAGGATGCAGTATATAACTGTGTAGATGCTAGAGAACATAAAAGTAGCTAAGGATCTAGTAAGGTTTTAAACAAGTAAAGCACAATTTTATACTCTGAACAATAATTACATATAGCTCTATGTCACGAAAATTGGTTACTGTAAGTTTATTAAGTAATTGTGCAATCCATGCCTAATATACAAATTAATTTCCGTAACTTTTCGGTTTTTGTTTTCTGTATTAAAAACCACTTTTTATGTTGTTACATAATTAGATAGGCCACAAACATTCCATGATTTTGTTTTCAGGTGACCGTGGAGTTAAAAGTAGCATTTATGAAAATTTCTGACATTGACACAGTTAATCAACAGTTCGAGGCAGACATCTTCATACAGGCGAAGTGGGAAGAACCATTGCTGGATGAAACTCATGTCACGGTATCTGAGTATAAAACATCCTTTTAATGTTTTAAAGTTGATTGTAATTGTGGAAAAAGAACATATGTGATTTCTTATTTGGCCCAACCACATAATTAAAAAAACTACATTTTTGCAGTTTGTAAAAGATTGCATTATATCAATCAAGAAAATGGCATTGTGAATTGCAATTTATTCTGGGCCCAAAAGAAGTTGTGTGTCGGGTTGTAATAAATAAGCTATAAATAATGAAATGTAATTTATCAAATACGAACATCAACTTTCTTCCAGAAGTGTATGTAAGTAATTATATTTCTGACACACTTTAAACAATATTTAGATATTCCTTAACAATAAATTGTTATGTAAACTGAATTTATTTTAGAACAATTATTAAACAAGTTATTTCAATTTATATTGATCACTCTTGTTGGCCCGGATATTAGTGCGGGAGGGGGGTGGGGGCTGTCTTAATGTGGTACCCCTAGCAAACCCACATGGTTGGCCAGGTGACCTCATACCATTTCACACCTGATCAGGGAATAGAAACGCTGTCGCCTTGGTGAAAGGCAAGTGAGCTATATGCTGCGCAACTTGACCACCCAAATAAATTGATGTTGTATGTTTTCGTGATGTTGCAATACAGTAGCCATAAATGAAGTCAGTTTCATAATAGTATTACTGTGTTTTATTTTACTCCTATGCATGAATAATGTGTTGCTCTATCAACTATTGTGGTTGTAGTATAACTTTTAAAGATCCCTGTAACACTGTCAAAGATTGAAGCTATGCATTCAAACATTATTTTTTCAGCATGGCTTTGACAAATCATTTCTGAAAAGGAAAACATATCTTGAAGAATCTTATAAAAAAATAGAGTCAAAATAAACAATAGAATACTGTGTTATATAAATATTCAGCGTGGCCAGACCACAGGGACCTGAGAAAACTAAGGTATTCAGAGTAATTTTACATGTTTTAGGGGTTAAGTTCGACCTTCAGTAAAAATGTCACCCCCAGTGATTATATGTTATTATATACTCGTATATATAATCATTGGGGGCGGCATTTTTAGCTAGCTTTTGTGGGCTAGACCAGGATTTGAAACCTGAGTCCAAATTGTTATACAATGTACTAGCTATTGCTCTGACCAACTGAGCTATCTAGTCAACAGAAGTGTTCTGGACCAACTGTATTACTGTTGTGTCCTAAACAACATTAAGGGAAGGTTTACTGTATAAATGAAAAGTTACAATAGGACAAGGATCCTTAAATTGGCAATATAAATTTGCATTTAATACATTTTGTTGAAGAAAAAGAGTCTCGTGAACCTGTTATTCCAAATATTTTCTATAAGTAACATTGATTCGAATTCCCTTGCTATTTTCTTTATAAACAATGTTGTGAACATATTTTAAAAATTTGGCTACAACTTGAACAGAAATTCTTTTTTTCACACATAGACTTTGCCAAGTGATGAGAATTCAATGGAAAATTTAGCAGATTATTAGATTAAGTTCCTAAAATAAGAATCAAGAGCATTACAGAGTACACTATTCAATATATTTACTGTGTACGAACATCTCTTTTGGGATCAAGACAAACTTTATAACTTCCCAACAAAATTTAAGCACTTAAGTTAATTTTTTAACTTGAAGAAGGGCCATTGAAAGAGAAGGCTTGATATGTGTATTATTGAATTAGCTTGTAAAACACAAGATGTAGATGTACTCTCATAGGTTATGCAGAATTTCATACAATTACAGCAACCTTTCAGGGCAGCTATATATGATCATTGTTGTATTGATCCGAAATACTTCTGACTTGTTCTTCTCTGGAGATCTGAATGATGAGCATTTTAAGCTTCAGAACTGGTGAAGATGTTAACTTTAATATATACATTATATTAACATTATTGATAACTACTATTAACTACTATTTACTATGTGTTGAACTTTGTAACCAATCTCTGATCAATAAAAGCTATGAATTATCATCTAAACTATATGTACTCCACAACCCGGTTGCAATATTGTCATATATTTGATTGCGGGAATCCCAATCTTGCTTGCCATGCAGAGTGTGTGAGTCACAATATCACCAGAACCCTTAAGCCTGGGGTGATATCACCGCAACTGCACCAAAAAATTCTGGCTATATCGCCACAAGTGCACCAGAACATTCTGGCTATATCGCCGAAAGTGCGCCAGAACTTTCTGGCAATATTCTGACGATATCGCCGTGAAACTTATTTGCATACGAACTCTGAACATGCGGCGCTATCGCAGCAATAGTGTGCCAGAGACTTATAGTTATCAATAATGTTAATATAATGTATACGTATGAACAGTTTTATAAGAAACCATTCTGTATAGAAGCAACATGAACTTCTGTAAAAATATTACAGCAAGACCTAAAGCAAGATATTGATATGATGTACTACACTGCTGAATGCATGTAGTAGAATTGTGTATGACACAATTTAAACTTTATATTGTTGTATGAAAATGCACAACAGTATTTCAGTTAAGATTTTACATGTTTTGTGACCATTGATTATAAAAAACATAGAAGAAAACATATTCTACATTACCTTATAAGACTCAAGAATGCTGTCACTTTAACTAAAACAAGACTTTAAAGCCTCCTTATTTCACTCAACTTTTCCCTTCACCATGAGCTCTCCTTCATTCATCAGCCATTTTGTGATTTTTGAATTTGGGGGTCAACTATATTTAGACATTAAGAGAACAATAGTGTTAGATACCACTTTTAATGTTCCCCAAGTAATGCTTTCATCCTGAAGTTAACCTGTATTAAGAGACCACCTGTTTTAAGAGACCACTGTCTCTCTTGTCTGCTGCATAAAATACTCAGTAGTGAAGCGGACGAAAAACCTCTCAAACAAACCACAAACAAACAAACGAGGCCTCTTTTTTGGACTTACTATGGGTGGTCTCTTGAAATCCAAGATGGCCATCATGTCTTTTTCTACTTATCTGCTAAAACATGGTGTCTGTAGCTTTTGTTATCAAAGAAGACATGAAATTTCGAACATTTTTCATCAACTAATTGTCTTTGAAAAAAAAAAAAGTGAACCTTTTTTCTATATCTTTTAAAAGAGTTATACAATATATTATTGTAATTGCTTTACATTATTTTTCTGAAAGTGGTATTATATAATAATTGCTGCATCATATTTTTTGTTTCTTTTAAAATTATTTCAGGAGTTTGACCCTATGGTGATGTGGACACCTAAACTCCTCATTATGAACCTTGATGGGGAATTCTCTTTCAGTAGGAGTACATTCAACATCCACTACGATGTCCATCCATATCAGCACACACTGGTCCTACAGCTGTGGAGGTGTAGGGGATTCTTCAAGGAGAATTTGGAGCTGGAACACTTCCCTGTTGATGTTCAGGTACATTAATGTGTACTGATTAGTAAAGAATTGTCAATGTTTATGTGATGCAACACTTTGCATTGTTATATTTGGTCTCTCAACTAACTTGGATATAAAATCAGACAACTTATCCCAAAAGTATGGACCCACCTATTTTAAGTGCCTTTTTGCCAATTTTATTTATGGCAACATTAGCTCTTAAATTATCATCTTAGATATGTGATGGATTTACTCAACTAAGATCATGATAAGAACGATGTTTCCATGTTATCTCCCCAGAGAAATGTGTCACACAATATTATTGTCATAGATAGTCCATATCAATAATTTGGAAGCTATAATGGAAAGAGGGTTTTTATAAGGTTTGTGTTTTATGAGTCTCAGAGGAACCTGTTTCTTACATGAACTGGGAAATTTTATATCATTTGGCTAACCTTCTATGTTGTAATTCGCCATTGACTAGATAGGCTTCATAAACCTGAATTAAATGTCAATTTTAATGAGTATTCTACTCCAACAATCTAGGAATTTCCTTACCATTTATATACCCCTGTGGTAGAACAAAGCTGCTGTTTTATTAGTATATCACAAAAGGCTTAATGTGTCCTGCATCCAGAGAGTGTTTATTACCATGTGGCTTGTACTCTTATTGTTTAAATAGCATAGTGAGATTGTCTTTTTATGCTCCCACTTTACGATTTATGACAGAGACAACATTGAGGAGTCATAATTTAACTTTTTGGTACTATTTCAAGATTGATGGGTTACACCTCATATTTTTTGTTTGATTGTATGTCAAGATTGACAGTAAAAAGCATGAAAGTGATAACCTGTCAGGTTTTATTTTCAAATCTTGAGTACTTTTCATGTATCTTGAGTTGTGATGAATAACCGTTTTCTGGCATAGCTTAAAGATACTGATATGCATAAGCGAGGTACTCTATCCTTAAAAATTATACCTGTAGATTGGTTATGATGTCTCCATATACACCTCGGTGTTACCTATAGATTGGTTATGATGTCTCCATATACACCTCTGTTTTACCTGTAGATTGGTTATGATGTCTCCATATACACCTTTCTGTTACCTGTATATTGGTAATGATGTCTCCATATACACTTCTGTGTTACCTGTAGATTGGTTATAATGTCTCCATATACACCTCTGTTAACTGTAGATTTGTTATGATGTCTCCATATACACCTCTGTTAACTGTAGATTGGTTATTATGTCTCCATATACACCTCTGTGTTACCTGGAGATTGGTTATGATGTCTCCATATACAGCTCTGTTACCTGTAGATTGGTTATGATGTCTCCATATACACCTGTGTGTAACCTGTAGATTGGTTATGATGTCTTCATATACACCTCTGTTACCTGTAGATTGGTTATAATGTCTCCATATACACCTCTGTTACCTGTAGATTGGTTATGATGTCTCCATATACACCTCTGTTACCTGTAGATTGGTTATAATGTCTCCAAATACACCTCTGTGTTACCTGTAGATTGGTTATAATGTCTCCAAATACACCTCTGTTACCTGTAGATTGGTTATAATGTCTCCATATACACCTGTGTGTTACCTGTAGATTGGTTATAATGTCTCCATATACACCTCTGTGTTACCTGTAGATTGGTTATAATGTCTCCATATACACCTCTGTGTTACCTGTAGATTGGTTATAATGTCTCCATATACACCTCTGTGTTACCTGTAGATTGGTTATAATGTCTCCATATACACCTCTGTGTTACCTGTAGATTGGTTATAATGTCTCCATATACAGCTCTGTGTTACCTGTAGATTGGTTATAATGTCTCCATATACACCTCTGTGTTACCTGTAGATTGGTTATAATGTCTCCATATACACCTCTGTGTTACCTGTAGATTGGTTATAATGTCTCCATATACACCTCTGTGTTACCTGTAGATTGGTTATAATGTCTCCATATACACCTCTGTGTTACCTGTAGATTGGTTATAATGTCTCCATATACACCTCTGTGTTACCTGTAGATTGGTTATAATGTCTCCATATACACCTCTGTGTTACCTGTAGATTGGTTATAATGTCTCCATATACACCTCTGTGTTACCTGTAGATTGGTTATGATGTCTCCATATACACCTCTGTGTTACCTGTAGATTGGTTATGATGTCTCCATATACACCTCTGTGTTACCTGTAGATTGGTTATGATGTCTCCATATACACCTCTGTGTTACCTGTAGATTGGTTATGATGTCTCCATATACACCTCTGTGTTACCTGTAGATTGGTTATGATGTCTCCATATACACCTCTGTGTTACCTGTAGATTGGTTATGATGTCTCCATATACACCTCTGTGTTACCTGTAGATTGGTTATGATGTCTCCATATACACCTCTGTGTTACCTGTAGATTGGTTATGATGTCTCCATATACACCTCTGTGTTACCTGTAGATTGGTTATGATGTCTCCATATACACCTCTGTGTTACCTGTAGATTGGTTATGATGTCTCCATATACACCTCTGTGTTACCTGTAGATTGGTTATGATGTCTCCATATACACCTCTGTGTTACCTGTAGATTGGTTATGATGTCTCCATATACACCTCTGTGTTACCTGTAGATTGGTTATGATGTCTCCATATACACCTCTGTGTTACCTGTAGATTGGTTATGATGTCTCCATATACACCTCTGTGTTACCTGTAGATTGGTTATGATGTCTCCATATACACCTCTGTGTTACCTGTAGATTGGTTATGATGTCTCCATATACACCTCTGTGTTACCTGTAGATTGGTTATGATGTCTCCATATACACCTCTGTGTTACCTGTAGATTGGTTATGATGTCTCCATATACACCTCTGTGTTACCTGTAGATTGGTTATGATGTCTCCATATACACCTCTGTGTTACCTGTAGATTGGTTATGATGTCTCCATATACACCTCTGTGTTACCTGTAGATTGGTTATGATGTCTCCATATACACCTCTGTGTTACCTGTAGATTGGTTATGATGTCTCCATATACACCTCTGTGTTACCTGTAGATTGGTTATGATGTCTCCATATACACCTCTGTGTTACCTGTAGATTGGTTATGATGTCTCCATATACACCTCTGTGTTACCTGTAGATTGGTTATGATGTCTCCATATACACCTCTGTGTTACCTGTAGATTGGTTATGATGTCTCCATATACACCTCTGTGTTACCTGTAGATTGGTTATGATGTCTCCATATACACCTCTGTGTTACCTGTAGATTGGTTATGATGTCTCCATATACACCTCTGTGTTACCTGTAGATTGGTTATGATGTCTCCATATACACCTCTGTGTTACCTGTAGATTGGTTATGATGTCTCCATATACACCTCTGTGTTACCTGTAGATTGGTTATGATGTCTCCATATACACCTCTGTGTTACCTGTAGATTGGTTATGATGTCTCCATATACACCTCTGTGTTACCTGTAGATTGGTTATGATGTCTCCATATACACCTCTGTGTTACCTGTAGATTGGTTATGATGTCTCCATATACACCTCTGTGTTACCTGTAGATTGGTTATGATGTCTCCATATACACCTCTGTGTTACCTGTAGATTGGTTATGATGTCTCCATATACACCTCTGTGTTACCTGTAGATTGGTTATGATGTCTCCATATACACCTCTGTGTTACCTGTAGATTGGTTATGATGTCTCCATATACACCTCTGTGTTACCTGTAGATTGGTTATGATGTCTCCATATACACCTCTGTGTTACCTGTAGATTGGTTATGATGTCTCCATATACACCTCTGTGTTACCTGTAGATTGGTTATGATGTCTCCATATACACCTCTGTGTTACCTGTAGATTGGTTATGATGTCTCCATATACACCTCTGTGTTACCTGTAGATTGGTTATGATGTCTCCATATACACCTCTGTGTTACCTGTAGATTGGTTATGATGTCTCCATATACACCTATGTGTTACCTGTAGATTGGTTATGATGTCTCCATATACACCTATGTGTTACCTGTAGATTGGTTATGATGTGTCCATATACAGCTCTGTTACCTGTAGATTGGTTATGACGTCTCCATATACACCTGTGTGATACCTGTAGATTGGTTATGATGTCTCCATATACACCTATGTGTTACCTGAAGATTGGTTATGATGTCTCCATATACAGCTCTGTTACCTGTAGATTGGTTATGATGTCTCCATATACACCTGTATGTTACCTGTAGATTGGTTATAATGTCTCCATATACACCTATGTGTTACCTGAAGATTGGTTATGATGTCTCCATATACAGCTCTGCTACCTGTAGATTGGTTATGATGTCTCCATATACAGCTCTATTACCTGTAGATTGGTTATGACGTCTCCATATACACCTGTGTGATACCTGTAGATTGGTTATGATGTCTCCATATACAGCTCTGCTACCTGTAGATTGGTTATGATGTCTCCATATACACCTCTGTGTTACCTGAAGATTGGTTATGATGTCTCCATATACATCTCTGTTACCTGTAGATTGGTTATGATGTCTCTATATACACCTGTATGTTACCTGTAGATTGGTTATGATGTCTCCATATACAGCTCTGCTACCTGTAGATTGGTTATGATGTCTCCATATACACCTGTGTGTTACCTGTAGATTGGTTAAGACGTCTCCATATACACCTCTGTGTTACCTGTAGATTGGTTATGACGTCTCCATATACAGCTCTGTGTTACCTGTAGATTGGTTATGATGTCTCCATATACACCTCTGTTTTACCTGTAGATTGGTTTTGTTGTCTCCATATTCACCTGTTTTACCTGTAGATTAGTAATGATGTCTCCATATACACCTCTGTGTTACCTGTAGATTGGTTATGATGTCTCCATATACACCTCTGTGTTACCTGTAGATTGGTTATTCTGTCTCCATATACATGTACACCTGTTTTTTCTGTAGATTGATTATGATGTCTCCATATACACATGTGTGTTACCTGTAGATTGGTTATGATGTCTCCATATACACCTCTGTGTTACCTGTAGATTGGTTATGATGTCTCCATATACACCTCTGTGTTACCTGTAGATTGGTTATTCTGTCTCCATATACATGTACACCTGTTTTTTCTGTAGATTGATTATGATGTCTCCATATACACATGTGTGTTACCTGTAGATTGGTTATGATGTCTCCATATACACCTCTGTGTTACCTGTAGATTGGTTATGATGTCTCCATATACACCTCTGTGTTACCTGTAGATTGGTTATAATGTCTCCATATACACCTCTGTTTTACCTATAGATTGGTTTTGATGTCTCAATATAAACCTCTGTTTTCCCTGTAACTTGGTTGTAAGGCTAAGTCTATACAAACAGTTGAATAATAGTTCTTTTTTCTCCATAATGTATAGGACCTGACAATATCAGTGTCGACTGAACGATCAGCAGAAGAAGTAAACTTGATAGAGGATCAGTATGCCCTCAGTTCCATCGACACCAAAACCTTTCTGGATGCAGCAGAGTGGAATGTGTACAAACATGTGGAGACATATCGGGACAAAACAACCATTGAGTATGCCAGCTCCACTGTCCACCCCATACTCCATGTCCAGTGTCGCGTCGCCAGAAAGGTCGGCTATTTTGTATGGAACATCATCTTCATTGTTGTAAGTTTCTATGAAAAAAACTCCTTTACCTGCGGTATATTTTCATATCCTGGACAGAAAATATCACTGGTGTCCAGAGCATATATTACGGTTTGGGTGCCAAATGGTTGATCCTTTGTATGATAGAATTACTCTTTGAGTTTTCTCATTCCCTACATTTGTAATCTTAATACATATTTCCCAGTATGAAAGGTAACTAGAATAAACTTCAGTGTGGTAAACTCACATGTACCCCAGAAATATTGCTTGTATGTATCACTGAATTTGATAAATGCAGTAGAATTATCCTTTTATTTTCGCATTCACTGGACAGGTAGATCAGCTTCAAGGGACTTCAAGATCTTCTAGGCCTAGCGTCATTAGCTTCTTGGGTTGATGGTCTATCAAGATTTATACCCAACTAAATTATCTTGACCAATATAAAAGTGACATTGTGCATTTCCATTTAAACTTAAATATTTTATTTGATACGGCACCATATATAACAATGACTTAAATGAAATGATGTGTCAGTGATAAATGACACTTCCCTTAATGTTACAGGCCTTAAAACTAATTTGCTATTAATTGTAGATCGCTTCCATTTGGACAGACTAAATATTGTGAACTGACCTTTCTACTTTTCTAAATCATGTAGTATTCGTGATTCAACATTAATTTACTTTCAGCTTTTGTGTCTTACATCTTAATATTATATCAGCAATTGTGTAGTTGAAACTTTAATACCCCATCAATGTTTAATGTTAATTTATATGAAAATAAATATTGAGCCAAATCTGAGTTATCAACACTCGACAGTTATGTTGCAAAGACTTACATTTGCGAGTCCAATTATCTGGTTTTAACAAAGTATAACAATCAATTTCCTCTGGAAATTAACACAAAAAATACTTTTACAACATTTAAACCCTTGAAAATGGCTGTGTGCTTTTCAAGACAATTGTCCAAAAAAAGTCTATGTTCTATTGATTTGACAGACGTGTGGATCCCTAATTATTTGAAGTATAATACTATGGTCTAGTGCTGTGTGACTTTAGTATCGGTGGATCCTTATCAAAGCTTGTGTGCTGTTGGCAAAGTTTTGTACAGAAAGAATGTTCAGTTTGTTTATTATTAATTTCTCTCGGGCTACTTTGTGAAAAGTAATTAAAATAAATTCTATTGTGTTAAAAAATATTACAGCTGCTGATTGCCAGTTTGACATTTACAAATTTTGCTATTGAGCCTGAAGCAGCTGATAGACTGGCAGTAACAATCACCCTCTTCCTCACAGCAGTTGCTTTCAAGTTTGTGGTGAAGCAGAGTCTCCCAACCATATCTTATCTTACCAATCTCGTAAGTGAAATCCTGCTTCGGAAGATGACAATGCATGTTAAGACCTCCACAATGTAAAATAATTCCTCAGAATGCTTCATAATCAAAGCACCTCAGACCTGTGCAAAAACATTGAAAAAGCACATTATAGCTATAAAACTTGCAACCATTGGGACACTATCAGATTGCCACTCTAGATAAAGTAGACAGCTGCATCTTTGATTATTTCTATTCTGCATGTTACTTTCATCTATATATTGTACATTGCGAACTTGTCTGTATGTGAATGATTTAAGATAATATGTAGGAAAGATGTTTGTTAAATAAAGTAGTATAAATGTACAAGAGAAGATAGAAACTTCCCAGTCCAGTTTTCCATCATGTGCAAAGCTAGAAGATGACTGTGATCCCATGTTCAATTACAACCTGCCACACTATCCCCACCCCACCCCACCTTTTAAATAGTTTCACCCCCAAACAGCTTTAAACCATATCAACCAAAGATATGTTCTTACTTCCTGTCACCATAGGGAGGGTCACAAGCAACGTTTCATAAGAGAACAACAGTAGTTAAAGATAAGTGTAGCTTGAATACCACTTTCACCAGGTAATGTGCCAGAGCAGTAACTCCCTGCTTCCCATCTAACCACTCCATCAAGCATGATGCTAGAAGTAGACAGTGATCTATGTACAATTAAAACCAACCACATCACAACTGGAGATGGTATGTCAAATGCAAGTATCGGTCATGGTCCTTTTAATTACCCCCAGGTCGCAGTAACAGTAAGGGGTCAAAGGTGAAATAATTGTAATACTTTATACTGATCAGCTCATGTCCTTGCCTCCAATTTCTAGGGTCAAATTTTAGTGATTATCCTGACCATGGCTCCTGAAGGGTTCATATTTGTTTATGATCCTAGTAGATGGTTTATATCAAGCCTACATGGTACATTACATGCTACTTTAAGTATAAACTCTAAAGGTCACAAAGGGGTCAATAGTTGTCTTTTTGTCAAGTCCGTAACATTTGAAGGGCTGAACTTTATATTTTTGAAACATATGTTAGATGTACCAGTATTATGATATGAAGGTGTGCCACACATCATTCTCTTGTCTGTACTCAAACTTCAAGGTCACAGCAAAGGTCAAATTATTGTAAGTATTATCTGGGAAATAACTTCTACAGGCCTGATCGATGAGTGTATCATGATTCATAGGACAGTTTGTTATATATACCATTGCATTATCTGCAACCCAAAGGTGAAGGTCACAGAATTGGGTCAAATTTGCAGACTTAATTACGAAGATAAATTCAAAACAGCAATAATTATTGATTTAGATTAAAAACCGCAAACAAATATTGATTTAGATTAAAAACCGAAAACTTAAATATTGATTCTATATCATTATTATATATAAACACCAATGTGTAACGGAAAATAAAAGTTCTTGTCCAGTATTTTTTTGTATGTTTGTTGAACAGGATATTTATGTTTTGAGCGCCCAGATGTTCCTCACCCTTCATGCTGCACAGAATGCCAGCATCAAGGCTCTGACCAGATTCAGCACTGCTGACAAAGTGATAGTCTACGATACCTATTCAATGATCTCCCTCTGTGTTATCTTTGTGATGTTTCACATCATCTTTGGCATCTACCTGCACTTAACAGTAAGTCTCAGTCAAAACACATCACTGCCAAATTAGCTGCATGAATCTCCCAGTATCCAGATAGAGAATACAGATTATGGGGAAAATGATTAAAAAAGAATTACTGTTTTATATCTCTAGCTTAATCGGAAGTTTCTGTGGTTCGTATATCATTTTGTAATCTTGCTGTCATAAATTTCAGTTTTCGGAAATTTCTGATGACCACATAGTATTGGTATGCTTGTTACTTTGTCCTGGGTCACTGCTATACTGGTAATTATAAAGATCACGACAACTTATGATTAAGAAATGAAAACATGGAATATTCCAATTGTTTCTTTTGAAAATATGAAATTTAAGATGCATACATATATGCAACAAGCAAGTATAAATTGTTTCTTGTTGGAGAACTGGTGAAAATTGTATGGAGTAAAGCATGTTTAGCAATAAAAATCAACCTCTTTACTTTTTTTTTTTTATAATCCATATAATGGATATAACTGATACATTTACTGATGCTATAGGCAACCAAAAGAAGGCGGCACATGAAGGAAAAAGACAGATTCTATAAGGTAAGATCTAGATAGAAGTACCACATTGATGGAAAGAAAAGAACAATAACTCTTTTTATGTGCTCAAACTCATCTCAGCGTTAATTGGGCTCCATTTGGCGTAGTTGGAAATTATTTGCTTAATTGTATGCCATTATTCATAGAATTTGACACTGAAGTTGTTTTTATGATAATTTAATGTTCACAGTGATTAAACGTAACATGCTTCTTAATGGTATACACAATTTCTCCATAAAGAGGAGATAATGGATTTTGGCCAAACCAACAGCAAAACTCCATAAAATTCTTGTTTTGAAAAACCTTCATACATGAAAGTGCCTGTGTTCAGTTTTTCCAAATCCAACAACTGTACTATACATGAATTTTATTAACCTTTACATGTCAGCGCCAGCGCACACTATTTATTTTCTCCAAATTAAACCATATTCTACACTAATTGAATGAATTATTTTAATATTTAGTACTTGTATAGGGAAACAAAAATTATTTGTAAAGTATTTTGGTATCTTTTGTAAGTTTTGTCTCACATTATTTGCTTGGCTGCATATGCATTTGGATGAAATTTCTTTTCCCCAAATTGCCAGCAGATTGATCTTCATATAGCAAAAACAGGCTTCACAACAAAATGATAAAAATTTCAAAAATGATCAATATTTTATCTATTATACGGTGATGTAGTTGACCAAGAACAGTAGGTTAACTATCAACTCTGATAAATGATGTATGAAATCTTGATTTGCCACTTAACATTGATACACTGTCAGTAATTGTTACTGATCTCTCAAGCAGGTCTCTGGTGTCAAATGAGGTATATTTAGAGTGGCAAATCTCTACATTTATATTAATATTTGTCTCAGCTCTGACAAGTATTATACAGTATACTAGGGAAATGCATTATTCATAATGACTACAAATGGGAATCTCATGAGTGCATGTTGATCTTGATCCAGATGCTAATATAACCAAGGTTATCTGTAGGTGGATGCTTGGTGCTAATTGTGGCCATTAATATCAGTATAATGTAAACTGATGAACCAATAATCGACAATTAGGTTGAGGAAACCATCTTGTACAATCGGTGAAATAATATGATTTTCATCTATCAAATGCATTGTGTATCTGAATATTTTTGTATGTTTGCATTATCATTACTTCTTCTTTTTTTTTTTAGCAGTGATTCTTTATTGTATATATCCTGAATGTGGGAAAAGTCATTACATAAATGTACTTTTTAAATTGTAGTTTTATTTGTTATTAATCAAGTTGTAGTCTATATCTTTGTAAAGTGAAGTAAATTTGTTTGATAGAAAGTTTAAGTGTCAGTGTATATGTTTGGGAAGAAGTCAGCATTTCTCTCCAGAAAAAAAGAAGAGAATAAATGTGTAATAAACCATTTGAGAAATCTGTAGACGATAGTGTACAATGTATACTATAGTTATAAGTATGTATACACTGTACTTCTTGTATATATATGTGACTGGAAGCTTACCCAGATATGCTGGCATTTCACTCGAAGGCAATTTAATATCTAGAGCCCTTATAATTATCAATAAGGAGAGGAAGAGTAAATTTCTCAACTGCTAGTAAATGATTATATGCTGGATAGATAAGTGCTGTAGTGATAAATGACAAAGGTAATTACTATAGAATGATTCCCGTTTCAGGAGAAGAAACAGCTCTTAGAGAAATATGGAGTACTCAAACCAAACATCGAAGTGGTAACGAGGAAGTAACGATCATCACTTATAAAGACAACTAGGATTAGTGATCCTGTGGGTTCATTGTACCTTCAGAAAGACTACACAGATTAAAGTATATGGATGCACCTTGCATCAACCATTGAGTATGTATTAATTTACATGGACTAGAGTGTTGCTGATCAGTATTACAGTATTTACCAGTGATGAAGTTAATAATATTCCTGCCTATGTATAGGTGAAATTTGGAAACAAGACTCTTTTTTATCCCCATTACTTTCTAAGTGCTAGGTCAGCTGGCCATGGGGTTATTGCATACATCTCTGTAAGTGATGAGCAAAATACGATTTCAACATATAGAAATGTCAGATTTATAGAACATATATTATCTGTTTTTGTCTGTATTTAATATTATGTTATGCTTTCAACGTCAACTTTTTTACTGTATTATCATTTGAAATCGTTGAAATACATTTTTAAAATAGTTTTTCAATAAATGAAATAATATTGATATCAAAACCTTTTTATATTTTTTCAAATTTTCATAAATATCTGACGAAAAAGTGGTTATCAATCATATAATGAATGACCATAAATGTCAAAAATGTAAACATCAGACATTTACACTAGCAAATATATTTTGAAGTGTTTGTTTTGTCTGGGCAGAAGAACAAACCAAACAATCAATGATGATAATTTTGTGTGCCTGCTGTGTTTAAGTACCTTGTAGTGCTGCTCATTATGTAGTTGAATATGAATGAATGATTCAATGACATGAATCTCCCAGGGGATAAGCCTCATTGCTTCATGTCAAAAAAAACACTATTTAGGTCAATGACCATAATGGAACATTTAAGCAGATGAAAACAGTAGCAATGAAAATTCGTGAAATTGTCTTCGTTTCATAATATTTAATATTCCCATGACATTGTTATGGTCAGAAAGGTGTTTTGATATCAATAGTAACTAGCATATCACTCTCAGTTCTTTGGTATAATGATAGAGCTGACAATAAAAGTGATACTATAAGCAACACATTACAAACATTCAGAAATTGAAGTACATGTATTAAACAGAAGTACCGCATTACAAAGTATCTACACCCCCAATATATTGGTGAAAGGGAAATACAGTGCCACTGACAACTAATTAGGAATGCTGCTTTAATCTCGCTGTCAAAGATTCTGATATTTGAACTATGAGGTTTAACAATGGCACTTTGAAATGGAATTTTTAGTGGGTTTTTTAGCTGATCGGAACGACAGGTGAGCATATGCCATGATGCGGCATCCATCACCTGTCTGTTAACCTTTTCCTTTAGAACACTTCTAGTCCTGAACTGTGGATTTGACTTGATTTAGTTTGGAGCATTAGTTGGTAAAGGGGACTAAAGGACAGGACTGGCCCTAATAGGGAAATACCATAAAGAAACATCTATAAAATTCTTCTCTTTCTGTACAAATGGAGGGATTTTAACCCAATTTAGCCTTGAGCATCCTTTGGCCAAAAGGACTCGGTGTTCTGTAAATAAAGGTGTTAGAGGGCTATAGTGATCAGAATGGTCAGACGCCTTAACCCACTCGGCCACCGTGGCCCTTTCAGACTAGCTTCAAATGATTTCTTATTCAGCCCATATGACTGGCTTCAGATAATTACTGGAATGTCCTTGAAGAAAACTAAGCCTGGCTACAAATGATGCCTAAATAAGACAAATAACTGGATTTAAATGATAACCTTACCTGGTAATCACTTACCAGACACTTGATGATAGTATAACAAAAAAAGTAAAACATTTAATTCATTTTAATATTTTGATAATCGCTGTAACAAGTGGTTAAAATTTTCCAAATACAGTTAACAACAATAACAAATGACACTTAATTAGAGTAAAAAACTGGAATGTAGGAGGCAGGAAACATGAAGAATGTTCCAGGTTCATTTGTAGTAACAGGTATCCCGGTACACCAATTAATGCAAGCATACCTATACAATAACATATCTTAACATACAATCTGGTGTTAACATGACTATGCATCTTAGTATTTTACCTTTCTTTATGCTATTTAAGCTATTAAATATATTAATTGTATGAAGGGTACAAATTGCCATGAAATATGAAGATCACACATTTTCAAGTGTAGTCTAGCTAGGTGGGCTAAAATACAACAAAAGTTGGATAAACATATTTTCTCAGAAGTATTGCATGTCACGGAATAAAAATAAACATATTTACCCACTTCAAAATTGTTCCGACATAAACTGAGTATTCCGAATCTCTTCCAGAGAAGTTATGTCATGTTTAAAATTTGTCAACCTGTTTTAAAGTACATGTACTTCCTAAAAGAGAACAAATCAAAATATTCAATTTGTTTAAAAAAAAAATGAAATGACAACACATGTTCCACCATGTTAGGGTGAGGATAAATATATGCAATAGTGTAATGTTATACAATACAAAAACGTAGTTTTAACTTGTTACTAAATGTAATGGTTTTCTTGCACAAGCCCGTATGACCATGCACTGTAGAAGGATAGAGCCTACTGTCTGTTTGAACATTCTTACTTACTAGGAAAAAAGGTTCATAAAGCATTGATCATGATCCTTCAGCTTGTTGACAAAAGTGACCTTGTAAAAATTACCTTTGACCTTCAGATTTCATGTTTATTTTATTTTTCCCTGTGAACATGTTCACCTGTCCCTCCTTTACCTTTAAAGATTTTGTAGTTGCACTGGCAAATACTCAACACTTAAAGTTTCATTGCTTGTGGGAACCTATTATAAAACAGTAGAAAATAGATCTCACAATGTAATTAAAAAAAAAAAAATCTGTCATATCCCCATTCTAGTTCTCCTTTACTTACAACATGGATGAACTCTTACCAATATCTAAACCACTACACATACAGCGTTTAAAAATATCACAGCCATGAAAATAATCCTATATAAAGTAATCATTTATAAAAATACAATTTTCAATGTGCACAAGATGAATAATAATCCATTACTTTTCATACATTATATAACCTAATGAAAACACCATATCATGCAAAATAACAAACAAAATTGGTAGTGACGATTTATATGGACTGAAGCTAGAATTTATGCTTTAATAAAGCACACCGTTTGTGCAGACATATTCCAGTTTTAATCCATATACATTTGTAGTTCAAAATCTTGTAGTTTAAAATATAAACATAGAGAAACAAGAGGCCCAGAGTACCTGTATCGCTCACCTGGATAATAAAGCAACCATGGGAAATTATTCATATTACATTAAATCCCTCCTTCGGACTAGGTGAGCTAAAAAAAACTGTGTTCTGAAAATACTAATGTGAATTACAAAAATATCTATTTTTCACAAATTGAGATCATCTGTTTGCTTAAATACTACCTAATCACTATCCTTAATAGACAATAAAACACTATTCATTATCAAGTTGATAATCATAATGATAGGAATCCATTCATTAGTGTTATTATTTATGGAAGCACTTCTAGAATGTTTAAGAATAAATGAAATGAAACATCATCAAGCAATGATATGTTTGGCACATGATGATATGAATCACATTTGAAAATATTGCACCTGATAAGTTAATCTAGGGAGCCTTGTGCAAAGTTACAGCGGTGTATTGGCACATTTCCTTGTAGTAACAAAGCATCTACGTGTACATGTGGCTGAGATGAAAAATCCATGAGGCAACAACTCAAAAATCTTCCTCAAAAATTGTTAACATGATAATGAATAAAGCGCCTGAAAAACTAAAAAAAAAGTTTCTCACAAATATTTGATTTTCATTCAATAGCATATACATATGTACCTACCCCATCAAACCTATCTGGAATTACAAAATCATAAAAACACATGACATACTGACAATTCCTTGTAAAAAAAAACAAAAAAAAACAGCATGAAAAACCTACTTTGGGACTAAGCTCTTAAAGCAACCCTTGACCCAACTTATGTGCTGAGTGGATAGCTATAGTTATCTCCCTTTTCAACACTAGTTCCATGCATATTTGTTTAGACAGAATATAGAATCTGGAATACAACAATTTTGTATTGAACCATGGAATGTAAAAAAATAGAAATACATTGTGTAATATACTTTTTCATAAAAATATCAACATGAACTGTTTTATTGCATAATTTGATTCTAAATACATGTGATTCCTGAATGTCCTGCTGGCCTTACCGCAGATATAAAAAAAAAATGTAAAGCCAGGGGAGTACGATCTGACTTGCCTGACACCTTGAGTTAGTAGATGTTACGTCAAGGCTAGAGAAGGTTTTCAATATTTGCCAGGTACTATGAAAATATACGTTAGACTTGTATAGATTTTCAAAATCAGCCTATCAGCTGCACTTGTACATATACTATAGATATGAACTTGTACACCCCTGGGCCTGAATATGAAGTCCCATAAGTTACAATGATAAAAAAATGTTTTAACATTATACAAAGTGGGTTTGAAATATCCTGTATACAACATATATCATATTACTGTAGTTATTATACATGTACATTGTGTATAAATAGTTACATAATGTATAAACCTAAGAAATGCACGGATTCCCTGCATGAATATACAACATTAAATATAAATGTAGGTGGGCATTGTAAGAAATTGTTATACATTATCAACCAAGACGAAAATCCTAGAATAAATGTGATTTCATCAAAATGTGATTTCAACAGCATTGTATGCCGGGAAATGTTTGCCACAGTTTAACTTTCGCCTTTTTCCCACTCCCCAATATAAAGAGGGCTAATTTACCGCTACCCAATATAATGAGGGCTAATTTACCGCTACCCAATATAATGAGGGCTAATTTATAACGACAGCAAATTTTTGTTGACAACATGCAATATATAGTACCATAATTACATATGAAGGACAAAATGAACACTGGGTGAACATTGATTTTATCAAAAAAGGGAATATTTGACTCGGCGAAAGTTTACCAGTATACTGTTATCGTACCTCAACATGTAATACACACACAGCAGGTCATTTAGATAACTCTGACATAATGTATATAGGTACACGTACTACATAGCCGACTTTCATTATGCTATAAAAATGTCTGACAAACCATTTCCTCTTTTGTCCCTACTCTTAATAATATCTTAATTCATTCACCCTACATACCTAAACTGGACCTGTCCAGTCTTTGATTGGGTGAGGCTCAAAAGTGACTTCAGGGGTGAATGGATTAAAAACACAGTCCTTTTAAACAATATTGTCACACTCAGTATCACACTGGCTAAACTTTTGCATGCATTTAAAGTGTGTTACAATTTTTTCAGCTACAGTCTTAATAATTTAGTGCTGAATCGCTATTTATAGCATTTAGGAAGAAACATTTATTTAATTTAGCAATTATCATAATATTGCGTACTGGAATTTGCATGACATGCTTACATATGATCACCACTAAAACTAATTCATATTAAGTGTTGATGAAAAAATATATTGATATGTTGATATGTTTAAAATATAAACTTTGAAAAAATCTGTATATATATTAGCATCTAATGTAAATAATTTATACATGATAATTATGTAGGTTTGATTGTCACCATCATCTAGAAAACCAGTTTAAGAATAGCAGTGTTCATTGTATATAGTTTTCTCACAACAGGTTTCAATATTAACTCTTTGACACAATATGACGATTTAGGATAAATTTAAGAGTATAAGATATTAGACAGTATATTTGTTTTGTATCATAATTCCAATAATTAAAAAAATGATAATAATAATGAAAGCACCTGGATCCAGTGTAGTTTAACAAGTTTGTACAGGCAAGTAGACATTAATACTTATAACTGTACTGCCCATTGGAATTCTGCAGCTGAAACACTTGCTATAGATTAGCTGGTGACACAGGTAGAGTCTGACCGTCCGATGACAAGGTCACAGTCTGGATCCTGTAGTGTTCTCTGAGAGAACATTTTAGCCACATAATCATATTTCCTCCTGCTGTACAGTATGGTGATGATATAATCTGGCACAATTTTCCTCTGAAAGCACTGCTCTACCAGTGTGTTGAGCTCGCTGGGTACGTTGGGACTCCGAGACTGTGTCTGAGGGTGGATACTGGAGTCCATCAGACTTGTTATGTGGTAGAAGTGATTTGTACCATCCTGGAACAGTCGACTTGCGAGCATGGAATCGAGGCGCGGTGAGAACATTCCAGCAGAAGATTCGCCGTAGTCGTAGTTATCACTGAGTAAGGAGTCATCACCAGGGTTACTGACTCCCAGGCCATAGCGACTGATATCATTAGGATCGTCTTCTGTAAGACTCAAGAAATTCATCTGATCATCATACACTGATAGGTTTGCAAACCGTGGTAATGGAGTCCCCTTCCTGCTTCGACTCTGAGACAGTAGGTGGCTTTGAGGTCGTGACCGTGGCACAGGAGTACTATCTCTTGACCGGGTAAGCCTCCCTAATGCTGGAGTGAAGTTCATAGCAGCACGTCCTGAAGGTGACCCTGTGGGCGTGTCGTCGGGGGAACTGATGTCCGATACATGCCCAGATGTGGGCATGCTGCTGTGGATACTGAGGGCCGGGTAGTTTAGATCCAAGGGTTCGTCTGAGGAGCATAGGTCAGGTGCATGGTTCATGCTTCCTTCTACAACATACAGAAATGTACATGTGGTCCAACAAATTACACAATTCCTTTTTCCTAAAGTGGGTAACTGTTCTTAAAAGACGAGGTGAACCTGAGCTTACCGGGGGATAATTTAATGCTGAATATTGATTAATATACAAATTTCAACATTAATCCATTTTTTTTTAATTTTTGACCAAAGTTCATGCCTTAAATGAAGGCAAACATGCAATTACAGGGAAAAAAGGTAAACTTTTAGTGCAAATTGTATTAGTTACTTCAGGCAAATTTTAGTCTTAATGGTATTATTTTGAACTAATCTTGTGTCTAAATGGTATTATTTTTGGCTTTTGATTTATTCCTCACAACAGAAGTATAACTCTGCACGCACCAAACTGTCCAAACAACTCGGTTTCTATATCCACAAGAAGTCCTTGGTCCATGAGCCACTGTGCCACGGCGACACAGTTAGTGCGTTTCTTTGAGATGTCCTCTGCTGAAACCTCCTCCCCTGCAACAACCAAAAATATCTATACCACTGGAAATGTCAACAGTGTTGTAATTTATTGAAATATGAAAATTTTACAATGATAAATTTCTTCAAAATCAGAGCAATATTATAAAGATCCTAGACCAAAGTTTTGGGTATTGAAAAGCATTGCGTTGATTTCTTAACTGTGATTCTGACCTTCTGGGTATGATCCTGTATGTGATTGTGGCACACAGTCTTTTCATAGTACATTTGTTCATTTACCTATGAATTTTATCAAATAATCTTCCGTAATAAGTAGTAGTTATGTACAAATTGACCGATAACCAGGGTATCTGACTCAGTTTTAGGATAGCTCGAGAAACTCAAAATATTGTTTGTATGTATTCTTTCATTAATTCCTTTCTTTCACATGCCGTTACATGTATGTGTACAACACACATCTTCAAATATCCAGAAAGTCATTAAACAACTGAGATCCTGCTGTATAGCTAAGTTAAATTTTTGAACCACTAAAAGCTGCTGAATACTCGTACATTATTCCTGCTGTAGATACAGTGTACTAATGAAATAACCAACTATCTTATCAGATTTACAGCAATCCAACTAAAATACTTTATTTACACCCCCCCATTGATGCATAGGTTCTGTGTACCAAGTATCACTCAGATGGTGCAGTACTTTGGAAGGAGTATTGCCAATAATAAAACTCACACTGTTGTTGCAATGCATTTTGGGAAGATTGAAGACTGCATGTTGATGTATCAAAATAATGTGTAAGATGTACTTTTAGACTCTTTAGAGACTTTTGTCATTTTTGTTTGTTTATTTTTATAGGTTTGAAATTCACAGGATACCATATTGATGATGTTCGAATTCAGATAAATACTTTAAAAAAAAACCAGATTGAATTTCTGTTTGGTTTACTGACAATGACCGATTGAAGTGTGAATTGACTTCAAAACAAGATCTTTTTAAATATTGACTGGAGATATAACATGTGGTGAGGGCAGACCAAAATGGTACATGTGAACCTGGTGTTTTTAATTGGTGTTTGGCTAATATTGTACATTCAAACATGCAAATACCTCAATTCATAATCTTGTGCAGATAACCTGCTGGGAAAGTATTTTTTTGTGGTCGTTTGACAAATATTTTTTATGTTATTTATATGTCAGAAGACACAGCATTATTGGGCCATATTCTAACGATGTCACGTATGAAAACAAAGCTGCACGCTATTTTGAATGGGCGAATCAACATAATCCTTCCTTTTTCTTCTATTTTACTTACAAAATACAGAATGCATACAAACGTGTATAAATTTCCTGGCATTATGTTTTTTTACAAACAAACTCATCAAACGGAATTCAATTTTTATACATTACACTTACAATGTTGAGTAGGAGATGAGAGTGGAAAAAGAGAGGAAAAAGAGAAAAATATTAACAATAGCAGCAGGGGGAAAAAAAGGATATATATAAAAAATAAATAAGACAGACCAACAAAGAGACAAACAGACATGGTAAGACTTTCCGAGCGAAGAAAAGATCAATGTATGTACACAAAGACAAATAATAAACAGGTCCTAGGAGAGTTAGACTAGTTTAAGCCACCTTGGCCAATCATTTGTTAATTCATTTAGACATTATCTTCCTTTCCAATCAGCAATACATTTATAAGTTTTATAATTATCTATTAACAAATTAGCTAGAACTGCGTTAACGTGTATTTTTGTATATGTAATTACCTCCCACCTCCTATATGTAGTTACATTATAAATTGTTACAGTATGTATTCATGTTTGCTCTATAATAAATTCTTTATTGACTCGAAAGGAATGGTAACAATATTTAAAACAGTTTAAAAATTAAATGAAAGTCCTGAAGTCCATGAGTGGGAGACAGTCTGTGTGTGGCATCCTGTGTATGAGTGGGAGACAGTGTGTGTGGCATTATGTGTGACTGTGAGCGGGGGACAGTATTTGTAGCATCCTGAGTATGAGTGGGAGACTGTGTATGTGGCATCCTGTACACCTGTGTATCCTATGAATTGAGTAATTCTCTCCCTTTCTATGGCACATAACACACAGCCGGTGTTAATCTTATACAATATGACAAAAATCAAATTTTGCAACTGCCTATTCTATAAAAGAATCTCCTGTCCCTCTTGATATAAGGACTTTTACTCTTTATTTTCCACTATGTAGCTCTTAATGACCTTACTGAAAAAGCTCTTGTACCGAAAATGAACAAAGGGAAATTACTCTGCATAAAGCTGGGCATAGAACTTTACTTCGTCCCATTAAAGATAAATTTATATAGCAATTTTTATGAATGTGAGTGAAAAAGCATGGAAATTAAAATACAGTCACAGATTTTGGACGCCCAGCCAGCCAGACATCACTGCTCCATAATATCTCCAATCATAGATGGGCATATGAAACAACTTCAGCTGCCACTAGCACAAAGTAAGCACAGAAAGCCACACTAAAATAGGCTGTCTCCCACACACTAACTACCACACAGGATACTACACACACTGTCTCCCACACACTAACTACCACACAGGATACCACACACAGTCTCCCACACACTGTCTCCCACTCACTAACTACCACACAGGATACCACACACACTGTCTCCCACACACTAACTACCACACAGGATACCATACACACTATCTCATACACACTAACTACCACACAGACTGTCTCCCACAAACTAACTACCACATAGGATACCACACACACTGTCTCACACACACTAACTACCACACAGGATACCACACACACTGTCTCACACACACTAACAACCACACAGACTGTCTCCCACACACTAACTACCACACAGGATACCACACACAGGATACCACACACTGTCTCCCACTCACTAACTACCACACACACTGTCTTCCACACACTGTCTCCCACACCCTAACTACCACACAGGATACCACACACACTGTCTCACACACAATTACTACCACACAGGATACCACACACACTGTCTCACACACACTAACTACCACACAGACTGTCTCCCACACACTAACTACCACACAGGATACCACACACAGTCTCACACACACTGTCTCCCACTCACTAACTACCACACAGGATACCACACACACTGTCTCCCACACACTAACTCCCACACAGGATACCCCACACACTGTCTCACACACACTAACTACCACACAGGATACCACACACACTATCTCACACACACTAACTACCACACAGACTGTCTCCCACAAACTAACTACCACATAGGATACCACACACAGTCTCCCACACATACACAGGATGCCACACATACACAGGAGGCCACACATACGGGCTCCAACTCATATACATAATGCCACACACATGATACTATACATACTGTCTCCCACTCATACACAGGATACTATACATCCCATACACAGGAGGCCACACATACGGGCTCCAACTCATATACATAATGCCACACACATTGTCCCCGACTCACACACATGATGCCACACACAGTCTCCAACTCACACATGGTGCCACACACATTGTCTCACAGTCATATATAGTATGTCACTCACTGTCTGTAACTCACACATACACAGGAGGCCACACATACGGGCTCCAACTCATATACATAATTCCACACACACACATAATGCCATACACACTATCTCCCACTTATACACAGGATGCCACACACACAGTCTCCCACTCATACTCAGGATGCCACACATACTGTCCCCAACTCACACACATAATGCCACACACACTGTCTCTAACACATACACAGGATGCCACACACAGACTGTCCCCCACTCATACACAGAATACCATACACACTGTCTCCAACACATTCACAGGTTACTATACATACTGTCTCCTATTCACACACACACTGCCTCCAACACACACATGGTGCCACACACACTGCCTCCAACTCACACATGGTGCCACACACACTGTCTCCCACTCACACACATAATGCCACACACACTGTCTCTAACACATACACAGGATACTATACATACTGTCTCCCACTCATACACAGGATACTATACATACTGTCTCCCACTCATACACAGGATACTATACATACTGTCTCCCACTCATACACAGGATACTATACATACTGTCTCCCACTCATACACAGGATACTATACATACTGTCTCCCACTCATACACAGGATACTATACATACTGTCTCCCACTCATACACAGGATACTATACATACTGTCTCCCACTCATACACAGGATACTATACATACTGTCTCCCACTCATACACAGGATACTATACATACTGTCTCCCACTCATACACAGGATACTATACATACTGTCTCCCACTCATACACAGGATACTATACATACTGTCTCCCACTCATACACAGGATACTATACATACTGTCTCCCACTCATACACAGGATACTATACATACTGTCTCCCACTCATACACAGGATACTATACATACTGTCTCCCACTCATACACAGGATACTATACATACTGTCTCCCACTCATACACAGGATACTATACATACTGTCTCCCACTCATACACAGGATACTATACATACTGTCTCCCACTCATACACAGGATACTATACATACTGTCTCCCACTCATACACAGGATACTATACATACTGTCTCCCACTCATACACAGGATACTATACATACTGTCTCCCACTCATACACAGGATACTATACATACTGTCTCCCACTCATACACAGGATACTATACATACTGTCTCCCACTCATACACAGGATACTATACATACTGTCTCCCACTCATACACAGGATACTATACATACTGTCTCCCACTCATACACAGGATACTATACATACTGTCTCCCACTCATACACAGGATACTATACATACTGTCTCCCACTCATACACAGGATACTATACATACTGTCTCCCACTCATACACAGGATACTATACATACTGTCTCCCACTCATACACAGGATACTATACATACTGTCTCCCACTCATACACAGGATACTATACATACTGTCTCCCACTCATACACAGGATACTATACATACTGTCTCCCACTCATACACAGGATACTATACATACTGTCTCCCACTCATACACAGGATACTATACATACTGTCTCCCACTCATACACAGGATACTATACATACTGTCTCCCACTCATACACAGGATACTATACATACTGTCTCCCACTCATACACAGGATACTATACATACTGTCTCCCACTCATACACAGGATACTATACATACTGTCTCCCACTCATACACAGGATACTATACATACTGTCTCCCACTCATACACAGGATACTATACATACTGTCTCCCACTCATACACAGGATACTATACATACTGTCTCCCACTCATACACAGGATACTATACATACTGTCTCCCACTCATACACAGGATACTATACATACTGTCTCCCACTCATACACAGGATACTATACATACTGTCTCCCACTCATACACAGGATACTATACATACTGTCTCCCACTCATACACAGGATACTATACATACTGTCTCCCACTCATACACAGGATACTATACATACTGTCTCCCACTCATACACAGGATACTATACATACTGTCTCCCACTCATACACAGGATACTATACATACTGTCTCCCACTCATACACAGGATACTATACATACTGTCTCCCACTCATACACAGGATACTATACATACTGTCTCCCACTCATACACAGGATACTATACATACTGTCTCCCACTCATACACAGGATACTATACATACTGTCTCCCACTCATACACAGGATACTATACATACTGTCTCCCACTCATACACAGGATACTATACATACTGTCTCCCACTCATACACAGGATACTATACATACTGTCTCCCACTCATACACAGGATACTATACATACTGTCTCCCACTCATACACAGGATACTATACATACTGTCTCCCACTCATACACAGGATACTATACATACTGTCTCCCACTCATACACAGGATACTATACATACTGTCTCCCACTCATACACAGGATACTATACATACTGTCTCCCACTCATACACAGGATACTATACATACTGTCTCCCACTCATACACAGGATACTATACATACTGTCTCCCACTCATACACAGGATACTATACATACTGTCTCCCACTCATACACAGGATACTATACATACTGTCTCCCACTCATACACAGGATACTATACATACTGTCTCCCACTCATACACAGGATACTATACATACTGTCTCCCACTCATACACAGGATACTATACATACTGTCTGTAACTCACTTATACACAGGATGCCACACACACTGTCTCCCACTTATACACAGGATGCCACACACACAGTCTCTAACACATACACAGGATGCCACACATACTGTCCCCCACTCACACACATAATGCCACACACACTGTCTCTAACACATACACAGGATGCCACACACAGACTGTCTCCCACTCATACACAGAATGCCATACATGCTGTTTCCTACTCATATACAGTATGTCACTCATGCCCTGGCTTCTTTTTACATTTGGAGATGCCACTCACACACAGACTGCAACTCACACACTGTCTGCAACTCACACAGGATTCCACTCACTCAAAGGATGTCAAGAAGGACTTATATATAGCTTCTTAACTTAATTTGCCTGCTTGAGTTGTTGATGAGTGATGAGCTACTTACACATGTTACAGAAAGGGCCAGGGTTTGCCATGATCCAGTCTGTCAGCTGTTTCCCACTGAAACACTTTGAGTACATCTGGAGTTCCCGTCTCATCTTGTGTAGTGTGGCCTGTAGAGCTCCGTCTATTGTACAGGTACTGGTGGTATCTGTCCACACATTCTACAAAACATCATAGGTAGCATGCTCACTTTGTATCTCACATATCAGGTGACAACTATGACTAAGTACCTCAAGTGACATAAATAAAACTTCATTTATGTAACAAAGATGACATACATGTACATGCTACAAAGTAACAAATGTGATATACGTATAAGTATTATAAGATATCAACTTACATGTTCCTTGAGAGCATTGTGTAACCTCATCAACTGTGGTGTAGACTCTGTAAACAGCTGTAGCTTAAACATAACATCCTCCTGTAAAGGTCAAAGGTCAAGGTCAATACTTGTAGTTACCCATTAACTGAAATGTATCACCACTTCATCCACTTTTTAGATAAAATTTTAAATATTTCAGTCTGAGGATTATTTATTTTTTAGAATTCCATCATGAAATTTAAGTACCTTTTGTATGTTGTCCTATTGAGAAACATGATATTTTTTGTACTGGAAGCCTGGATAGCTATGTAACATATTAATACAAAATAATACAATACAAATATTTTACTGTTGGTGAGCTCGCTACGTTATGTTATTATTGCCTGTAATCAAGTGGTAAATAATCTGTGTGTGAGATACCACTTACCGCCTGTGACAGCAGTAGATCTTTCCTTATGTCTTTGTCTTGGTGGGTAATGAATGTAAGCAGATGCTGCAACAACAGTCAAAGTAACACAGGTTATGAAGATAACAAAATAATTACATAGTTCTATATAGCTAATGCTACTTTGTCTTGGTGGGTAATGAATGAAGTAACACAGGTTATGAAGATAACAAAATAATTACATAATTCTATATATAGCTAATGCCAAAATACACAAATTTCAAAATGTTAAAGTGTGTCTTTTGACCATGACAAAATACCACCAAAATACTTGTTACATATTATAGAACTTAATGTTACTATATCAAAGTGACGATATAAACTAAATCTGCTAAGTAAGATTTGCAAAAACTAGAAGATGTCTGTAAGACATGATTGTCCCTGTCACCATGTGAAATCAGTTTCAGTTTTTGATGGGACGGGAAGTGATGGGACAGGACATGACAGGACGGATATATGGGCAACACTAAACAATATATGCCCCCTCACCTCATTTCATGGCAGGGTCATACAAATATTTAAGTACATGTGTATGTAACCTATATTTGTTTTTATGGTGTAAAAATGGTACTTACTGTGAGAGCTTGTATGGGTGTCTGGCCATTTGTTTGTATGGTGTAATAATGGTACTTACTGATAGAGTTTGTATGAGTGTCCGGCCATTTGTTTGTATGGTGTAATAATGGTACTTACTGAGAGAGCTTGTATGAGTGTCCGGCCATTTGTTTGAATGGTGTAATAATGGTACTTACTGGGAGAGCTTGTATGGGTGTCTGGCCATTTGTTTGGTGTGGTGTAATAATGGTTCTTACTGTGAGAGCTTGTATGAGTGTCCGACCATTTGTTTGAATGGTGTAATAATGGTACTTACTGAGAGAGCTTGTATGAGTGTCCGACCATTTGTTTGAATGGTGTAATAATGGTACTTACTGGGAGAGCTTGTATGGGTGTCTGGCCATTTGTTTGGTGTGGTGTAATAATGGTACTTACTGAGAGAGATTGTATGAGTCTCTGGCCATTTGTTTGTATGGTGTAATAATGGTACTTACTGAGAGAGATTGTATGAGTCTCTGGCCATTTGTTTGTATGGTGTAATAATGGTTCTTACTGTGAGAGCTTGTATGAGTGTCCGACCATTTGTTTGAATGGTGTAATAATGGTACTTACTGAGAGAGATTGTATGAGTCTCTGGCCATTTGTTTGTATGGTGTAATAATGGTACTTACTGTGAGAGATTGTATGAGTCTCCAGCCATTTGTTTGTGGTGGTGTAATAATGGTACTTACTGTGAGAGCTTGTATGAGTCTCCGGCCATTTGTTTGTATGGTGTAATAATGGTACTTACTGTGAGAGCTTGTATGAGTGTCTGACCATTTGTTTGTATGGTGTAATAATAGTACTTACTGTGAGAGCTTGTATGAGTGTCCGGCCATTTGTTTGTATGGTGTAATAATGGTACTTACTGTGAGAGATTGGATGAGTCTCCAGCCATTTGTTTGTGGTGGGGTAATAATGGTACTTACTGTGAGAGATTGGATGAGTCTCCAGCCATTTGTTTGTGGTGGCGTAATAATGGTACTTACTGTGAAAGCTTGTATGAGTGTCTTGCCATTTGTTTGTATGGTGTAATAATGTTACTTACTGTGAGAGCTTGTATGAGTCTCCTGCTATTTGTTTGTATGGTGTAATAATGTTACTTACTGTGAGAGCTTGTATTAGTGTCCGGCCATTTGTTTGTATGGTGTAATAATGGTACTTACTGTGAAAGCTTGTATGAGTGTCTGGCCATTTGTTTGTATGGTGTAATAATGGTTCTTACTGTGAGAGCTTGTATGAGTGTCCGGCCATTTGTTTGTATGGTGTAATAATGGTACTTACTTTGAGAGCTTGTATGGGCGTCTGGCCATTTGTTTGTATGGTGTAATAATGGGTCTTACTGTGAGAGCTTGTATGAGTGTCCGGCCATTTGTTTGTATGATGTAATAATGGTACTTACTGTGAGAGCTTGTATGAGTGTCCGGCCGTTTGTTTGTATGATGTAATAATGGTACTTACTGAGAGAGCTTGTATGAGTGTCTGGCCATTTTTTGGGAGTGGTGTAATAATGGTACTTACTGAGAGAGTTTGTAATGAGTGTCCGGTCATTTGTTTGTATGGTGTAATAATGGTACTTACTGTGAAAGCTTGTATGAGTGTCTTGCCATTTGTTTGTATGGTGTAATAATGGTTCTTACTGTGAGAGCTTGTATGAGTGTCCGGCCATTTGTTTGTATGATGTAATAATGGTACTTACTGAGAGAGCTTGTATGAGTGTCTGGCCATTTTTTGGTAGTGGTGTAATAATGGTACTTACTGAGAGAGTTTGTAATGAGTGTCCGGCCATTTGTTTGTATGGTGTAATAATGGTACTTACTGTGAGAGCTTGTATGAGTGTCTGGCCATTTGTTTATATGGTTTAATAATGGTACTTACTGTGAGAGCTTGTATGAGTGTCTGGCCATTTGTTTATATGGTTTAATAATGGTACTTACTGTGAGAGCTTGTATGAGTGTCTGGCCATTTGTTTGTATGGTTTAATAATGGTACTTACTGTGAGAGCTTGTATGAGTGTCCAGCCATTTGTTTGTATGGTGTAATAATGGTACTTACTGTGAGAGCTTGTATGAGTGTCCGGCCATTTGTTTGTATGGTGTAAAAATGGTACTTACTGAGAGAGTTTGTAATGAGTGTCCGGCCATTTGTTTGTTTGGTGTAATAATGGTACTTACTGTGAGAGTTTGTATGAGTGTCTGGCCATTTGTTTGTGGTGGTGTAATAATGGTACTTACTGTGAGAGCTTGTATGAGTGTCCGACCATTTGTTTGAATGGTGTAATAATGGTACTTACTAAGAGAGATTGTATGAGTGTTCGGCCATTTGTTTGTATGGTGTAAAAATGTTACTTACTGAGAGAGTTTGTAATGAGTGTCCGGCCATTTGGTTGTATGGTGTAAAAATGGTACTTACTGAGAGAGTTTGTAATGAGTGTCCTGCCATTTGTTTGTATGGGGTAATAATGGTCCGTACTGGGAGAGCTTGTATGGGTGTCTGGCCATTTGTTTGTATGGTGTAATAATGTTACTTACTGATAGAGTTTGTATGAGTGTCCGGCCATTTGTTTGTATGGTGTAATAATGGTACTTACTAAGAGAGCTTGTATGAAAGTCCGGCCATTTGTTGGTAGTCGTGTAATAATGGTACTTACTAAGAGAGTTTGTAATCAGTGTCCGGCCATTTGTTTATATGGTGCAATAATGGTACTTACTGAGAGAGCTTGTATGAGTGTCCGACCATTTGTTTCTCCGTTGCCATCTCCCAACATTAACCTGCTGAGCTCTTCCTCAAAATCCTGTAGAAAAGCAAAACAGAACTGAAATGTCTGCGTTACAGGGCAAAAGGGAATTAACTCAATTCAAAATCTGTTACTATTCCCATTTTTATAGCTATTATACAAATTTTAATATCAATAAGCTTACTCTGTATAGATCAAAACAACCAGTTCTACATACTTGTACAATAAATATCCAGATGCACTCTGTGACCCTCCTAAAGCAGTCTGGGTACAGCCATGCCTGTAGGGAGTCAAAGTAGTTCTGCAGGAACTGTGTGAGGGGCTGGAGGCACACATGTATGGGGTCATCTGGGTGCTTCAAGCCAAGCAACACATGCAGGGCATCACACACAAACAGGTTTATCTGTGGGAAGTGTCATACAGTTATATGTTACACCATCATCTAATTTCTCTAATGTGAAAGGTGTCTGTTCTACGTGGACTGTGCAGGGACTCATTCAGTACTCTATGGGGATGGACTCATGCATCGTTCTACGGTATAGCTCTATGGGAGGAGAACTCATATATAGCTCTATGGGAGGAGAACTCATATATAGCTCTATGGGAGGAGAACTCATATATAGCTCTAATGGGGAAAGACTTATACACTGCTCTATGGGGAAAGACTTATACACTACTCTATGGTTGAAAGACTTACACACTACTCTATGGGGAAAGACATATACACTGCTCTATAATGTGGAAAGATATATACACTGCTCTATGGGGAAATACTTATGCACTACTCTATGGGGAAAGACTTATGTATTACTCTATGGGGAAAGTCCCATACACTGCTATATAGGGGAAAGACTCAAGTATAGATCTAAGGGGAAGGATTCATAATATGCATCTCTGTGGGAAAGATGCATATACTGCTATATGGAAGAAGGCTTCATTCATTGTGCTGTTGGAGGAAGGGCCCATACACCTCTCTATGGGGAGGGATTCATTCACTTCTCTATGGACAGAGAACTGTACACTTCCCTATGGAAGAAGGGTCCATGCACTTCTCTATGGGGAATGTCAAATACATTTGCTCTATGGGATAAGAACTTATTTCATACTGAGAGTATGAAAAAGTGTATCAAGTTAACCAAAGAAAGAGTAAAACACATACTGACGATAGCCTTGACCCCTCTCACTTACCCTGTAGGCCATGATCCTACTTAGGGCACGCAGGACAGCCATCAAGTGATCATGGCACGGCCTTGTGAGACTCTGCACAATGACAGAATGACATGACCGTGATGAAGTGGTCGTCGATGTTATCTGAGATGCAGTCTCCATGACAAACTGACGGTCAGACTCAGGATTGTAAGAAAATCCTGTCACAACTTCATACTCTGCGGTGAAATAAATAAGTGTAAGACTACAGTTATTTCACAGTTAATTAAATGATGGATACTTATTTTAAAGGACTTTTCCTAAACTAATTTTCCTCGTTATTTTCCTATTATGCATTACTTTTAATGAAATGCATTTTAAACAGATAATTTATTTTCATTACATATGGATATTAAAGTGTTTGTGTACCTGTTTTGTCATAGCTGTTATGGTCACTTGTAGGAGTGTAGCTCTTGTGTTTAAGCCGCCAATCGTTGTAGACATCAAAGGCTTTTCCAAGCTTGCCATGGTAACTGTCAAGGTAGTCGGAAACTGCCGCCATGTTGTTGATCCGGGTACACATCTAAAAGATTACAATGCCATGTAGTTTTAGGTTGCACAGGTACCAGAATGTAAACTTATCAACTGCAGCCTATAATACACATGACAAAAACAAACTAGAACTAGTAACTATATAATTATATAACTACATGTCAGATACCTGTGCTTTAATTCAAAGGTCTCTTGTATATATTGAGATGTGCTGGCTCTGTGGCCAGGTTTACAAACTTTCCTTAACTTAGGATGTTCAAAAGGAAAGCTTTACTGAAGACACAAGTTAAAGATGATTTCTCAACTTGTACATGTACACATAATTATATTCTTTATTCATAGTGAACACATCTGGTTACAAGTTTCCCATATAGACCAGCAAAGGGGCAGAATTAGTATATTCTGACATCATAATGTGCATTATTATAAAAGTGGAAATTATCGTGCGTGGTAATGTTTGTGTTGTGCCTCTTCCAACTAATCAAAGTGTACAAACGTTCTCATTGGTAAAGGGTTTGAAATCTACATATTCCATATATCAATAATACCATAAATAAATGTTCCTGTGTAGATGTTTTCGCACTTATTTCTAGTTGTTAAAAATGTGAGCATACTGCAAAAAAAAAAAAAAAAATGTTCACATTTGTCACAAGTTGTGTGAGAGTAATCCCCCTTGTCACACTCAATACCTAGACCTGTATTTGTTATAGTATCACAGTTTATTTTTTTAAATTTAAGATTAAAAATATAAAGTGCATAGTTAATCCACTTGTTATCCCTTATAAATACAAGTTTCCTAAAGTTATGAACAGGTAAGACAATTAAATTTAACCTCGACTCTAACTGTAAAATAATTATGTAATTTTTTGTATTCAATGTCTGTTTGTGCATATCTGTTGACGTACGTCTTTGGTAATGGGCTCATAACGATCACAGAGTAGCTCTGCCTTCTTGTTGACATACATGAAGCAGTCCTTCACCCTGTTGGTGTCGTGGCGACAGCCCCAAATGAGGCCGCCCGTCTGCTGAGTCTGGAGGTAGGACACCAGCTGTGAACAGGAACAAGACATTTTAATAGTGAGAATTTCTAGAATACTCCATCAATGTAAATAATACAGCAAAAAGATTGTGTAATGATAATATTGTATTGTATGAAACATGTTGCAGTTACAGTATACAATATATGATATATTTTACAGCAAAGGAATACAATAAATAATCTGCTAGATCTATTAAGACAATTGTTCAATCATTTTTCATAATCTTATCAAATTCAATAAATTTATTTTGACATTTTGATACCTTATTTGTATCTTTTATATATTGCATTTGCTTTTTTCAGTAAAACCCAAACAATGAAAATACTTCTAAGGGTAAAAAAGAAATGAAACTTTCTAATATATTGTGGATGTATCAAAAGTGAAACAGGTAAACTATTGCTATAAGCCCTACCTGAGGTCCTACCAGTCTCCTGGCAACGGACACCGTGGTCCCACAAAGGTCCAAACACAGCATGTTATCAGCATACACACACAGAGTGTTACACAAACCCTACAGGAAAAAAGAGCATGTTTTCAGCATACACACAAAGAGTGTTACACAAACCCTACAGGAAACAAGAATTCCACGGTAGTGGATGTGTCGCCTGCGCAGGAAGCTGGGAGATTACGAAGAAATAGATACACTTTTCATTTCAAGAAATAATGTTAAAAGTAAGCAATAATCATAGATTATGATTTTGGATGGCATCATTTTGTTATATAATCTGTTATTCTGGGAAGAATACTCTGAGTTTTAAGGAACTTGCATGGATACTCATTGTCTCAATTCCAAGTTTAATTTGTATGATTTGTCGGATGGTTTCGCATAAATAATACAGTTTTAGTGAAGTTTCTATTATAGTAACAGTGACCTTGACCTTTGACCTTCAGACCTGAAAAGCAAGCCCAAGCAAGCACTTTTGGTAAGGAAGCACTGCATGAAGTTTGAGTTTGTTCGGCCCAAGGAATATCAAGTTATCGCACGAAAACAGATTTTCTATTTATAGTAACAGTGACCTTGACCTTTGACCTTCAGACCTGAAAAGCAAGCCCAAGCAAGCACTTTTGGTAAGGAAGAACTGCATGAAGTTTGAGTTTGTTCGGCCCAAGGAATCTCTAGTTATCGCATAAATACAGATTTTCTATTTATAGTAACAGTGACCTTGACCTTTGACCTTCGGACCTGAAAAGCAATCACAAGCAAGCACTTTTGGTAAGGAAGAACTGCATGAAGTTTGAGTTTGTTCGGCCCTAGGAATCTCAAGTTATCGCACGAAAAGAGATTTTCTATTTATAGTAACAGTGACCTTGACCTTTTACCTTCGGACCTGAAAAGCAATCCCAAGCAAGCTCTTTTGGTAAGGAAGCACTGCATGAAGTTTGAGTTTGTTCGGCCCAAGAAATCTCTAGTTATCGCACGAAAACAGATTTTCTATTTATAGTAACAGTGACCTTGACCTTTGACCTTCGGACCTGAAAAGCAATCCAAAGCTAGCACTTTTGGTAAGGAAGCACTGCATGAAGTTTGAGTTTGATCTGCCTAAGGAAACTCAAGTTATCGCACGAAAACCTCTGTTCGGACGACGACGACGACGCCGACGCCACCTCCTACAAAGCAATACCTTTGTGTCACCAGCTTTTCGCAGGCGACACAAAAAGAGCATTTTATCAGCATAGACACACTGAGTGTTCCACAAACCCTACAGGAAAAAAGAGCATTTTTTCATCATACACACACAAAGTGTTATACAAAAACAAAAATCCTACAGGAAAAAGGAGCATGTTTTCAGCATAAAGATACACAGAGTGTTACAAAAACCCTACAGGAAAAGGAGAATGTTTTCAGCATAAAGATACACAAGAGTGTTACACAAAAATCTTACAGGAAAAAGGAGCATGTTTTCAGCATAAAGACACACGGAGCGTTACATAAACCCTACAGGAAAAAGGAGCATGTTTTCAGCATAAAGACACACAGAGTGTTGCAGTTTTCAGCGTAGACACACAGTATGTCACACAAACTATACAGGCAAATAATACATGTAACTGTATAAATACAATGTGTGTTACAAATCTGCAAAGGTAAACATAACATTTAATCAACATTGATACACAGATTCGTGTTAACACAAAATAATTTGGGTGCAGCACATTTTAGAATTTCCTTTTACTTAAGAAAAGACAATATTGCAAAACTTTAACAAAATTTTAATAGATGTGTTTATCTGACTGACCTCAAAAATGTTGTCGTACAGTTTCTGGCGTGCATCACTCATCTTGGTGGTGAGATAAAATTCATCTGAGCAAGACTCCAAGGACAAGATGGAGTCTTCATTGACAGAAGTCTGGCCCTTAACAGTACTGTGACAGAAAGTCTGGCTGATCGTAGAACTGAACTCCACTAAACGCTGCAGCATCACAATCAGATCCACCACAGAACTTGACAATGGCAGCATGGACATGACTTTGGGAGTCGGAGATGAGGGGGAGATGGGAGAGCTCACAGAGTTGGCGGGGGTCACAGAGTCCTCCACGCTATCACATGATATGTGTCTGTCTAATACAATCGTAGGGCGAGACGGACCCGTACTACCATTCATCTCTTTGAAACTGGCTGCTATAAGGTCTTTCTTCTGTGTGGATGGCACAGGGGTCATAATGGCCTGAGTATCTAATTTTTCACTAACCATGGATACAATTTCTATTGGAGGAAAGGCAAAGTCCTCATCAGCAGACTCTGTGTGATCTGTGAGGTTGTCATCATCTGACTCTGTAAATGTATTGTCACTATCATTATGGAACTCTTCAGCTAAAGAGTCCTTATCATCGTCATGGTTACCAACCTTTGCTTTTATCAATTCATCGTCTTCCAGTAATTGCTGATGGATGTCGTTATCATCGTCATGGTTACTAACCTTTGCTTTCATCAATTCATCGTCTTCCAGTAAATGCTGATGGATGTCCTTATCATCGTCATGGTTACTAACCTTTGCTTTCATCAATTCACTGTCTTCAAATGATTGCTGATGGACTTCTGCACTGACAACTAGATCATGTGACATTTTCTGCTTTTCTGACTGGCCCTCAGAATCATCAGGTAAAACTTTGTCAATAAGTGATTGATTCTTATTATGGTCACATGACACTGGTTTGATTTCTGGAAGGTCCTTGTCACCAAGGTTCTGACTGATATGCCTTCGTGAGACACTAAGACTGTGGTCATAACTTTTGCTGAGGATGTCGGGGAGGGAACTGCTATGTCTGATATAACTAAAGGTCACCATCGCGTCTCCATACTCATCCACAAAATCTTCCAAGGACTTTGTGTCCCCATCAGTCTTGTTCAGCCCAAAATCAGAATGTAGCCCACGCATGTCCTCCATCTGTGAAAACTTACGGATATTCACAGCTTCTGTTCTGGCTCGTTGTTGTTCTTGGCTGAGCACTGATGGCTGTCCTGGTAATGGCAGCGGGGACTCATGAATTGTCGGATAATGTGTCCCACATTCTGATGTAAGTGAGGTCTGAAAACGATATTGATACCTTTCAACAAAAACTAAATACTTTCAAAGGGAAAACTAGAAAATGCTGAGGTCAGTATAGTAACATTCACATAATGTATTTCCACTTTATCTGACTGATGAATTTGCACAAAACGAAACCTACTATTTATCATCAATGTTGAACTTTTGCCCAAAACCCAATGTCCTGACTAGAATAATGTTCAACAAACTTGAATCTACAATCATGTACAGTGTTAAATATTACATGTAAAATATCAAATTAAAATATATAATATAAACTTTTACCAAATTTTCCCAAAATTGCTACCTTACACTCAGCTTTCCGTCTGGAATGAATATGAATTCCATGATGATAGGTGCAAAGTTTGAAAATGGCAGACATTTGTTTTAAGGAGCATATGTAATCAACAATGAGCACACACTCAACACCACACTGTGCTCATACTGTCCCCAGGGGAACTAATGATGCAGAACAAACAGTTATACACAATATCATCTGTATTCAATATTTATCAGACTATAATCATTATTTCTGCAATAATCTAAATATATCTGCAGATAAGGTCAAAAACATTCTCCCTACATATCCCAACAAGTCTACATATTCAATGTGAACAGTAGTGGACTGATCAGCCATCAACAGGCGACATTTATGTTGACTGAGTACACATATACATGCTGCTTCTGAATAGATGTGGATTAAGAAGATGACACATATATGCTGGCTCTGAACAGGTGCCAGAACAAATGACACGACACCCTATTTTATTGTGAACAGTGCTGGACTGAGCAGACGACACATATCTCATGATTGTGTGCAGCGGTGAACTGAACTGACAACATACACATGCTTATTGTGAACAGTTGTGGACTCAACAGACAACACATCAATTTTGATTCTGAACAGCAAAGTACTGAACAGAAGACAGCAACATGTTGAATTGAGCAGACGACATGTACATGTTGATTCTGAACATGTATGAACTGATCAAACAATACCTACACGTTTGTTGTGAACTGGTGTAGACTGAGCAGACGACACCAGTCCACTAAAGGCACTATTTAGAGATGGAGTGATGGACTTAGTGGAAATCGTTCGTCGCCTGTTGTCAAATGAAGGGAAGGAGCTCAGAGAACTGCTATAGCAGCTCTGTAGATCTTCATACTGCTCCATCCGAAACTGAAAACAGAGGTCAACATTGGTCAGTTAGTGATGACTCACAACGGCAAAGAAAGATAAAATACCATAAATTTCTGTTATTACCAGGTTACACTCTGAGGTTTAGATGTAGATAGGGTTGATATAAAGTACAACGTACAGTAACCACTTAGTTTTCATTAATGCAAGAACAAAAATGTACAGCTGGTTTTCATAAATAGTGATTTGTGTGGTTATACACTTAAAATTATCCATTCATGAGTATAAATTTTACATGTAGACTGATCTATTTTACAATCAATCAGTATCACTTGGGACACTAATTACCTGATCCAGCGAGACTGATCGGACCACTAGGTGTTGCAGGGTAACCTTGATTACAACTGTCCAATGCAGTTCCTCCTTCACAAACACCTCTCGCCATGTCTCCATTCTGTAACCATAGTAACAGTGTTAATTAGGATCATTCTGTAACTATATTAACAGTGGCAATTATGATCATTCGGTAACCATAGTAACAGTTTTAATTAGGATCATTCTGTAACTGTGGTTAGTGTTAAGTATGATTATTCTGTAACCATAGTAACAGTGTTGATAAGGATCTTTCTGTAACTGTAATAAGTGTTAATTAGGATTATTAGGTAACCATAGTAACAGTGTTAATTAGGATCATTCTGTAACCACAATTAGGATCATTCTATAACTGTGGTTAGTGTTAATTAGGATCATCCTGTAACCATAGTAACAGTGTTAATTAGAATCATTCTGTAACCATAGTAACAGTGTTAATTAGGATCATTTTGTAACCATAGTAACAGTGTTAATTAGGATCATTCTGTAACCATAGTAACAGTGTTAATTAGGATTATTCTGTAACCATAGTAACAGTGTTAATTAGGATCAAAGTCTTAAAGATGTTACTATCAATGAGCTTGTATATACTTTTAGAATTAAGAAGGATCAAAGTATAACATATGTCTTACTCTGGTGCAAAGGATGTCCACTAAAACTGACCATAATTGTAAGCTTCAAAATTCCATTTAATCAAATTTCTAGTTACAAGCCACTAATCAGATTTAAGAAGCCTGGTCCAACTGGTTCTGTCTGTACTGATATAAGTACTTACTCTGGTGTGAGATGAGATGACCAGTCCTGGTCCAGTACAGTCTGTACTGATGTAAGTACTTACTCTGGTGTGAGATGAGATGACCAGTCCTGGTACAGTACAGTCTGTACTGATGTAAGTACTTACTATGGTGTGAGATGTGATGACCAGTCCTGGTCCAGTACCGTCTGTACTGATGTAAGTACTTACTCTGGTGTGAGATGTTATGACCAGTCCTGGTCCAGTACAGTCTGTACTGGTGTAAGTACTTACTCTGGTGTGAGATGTGATGGCCAGTCCTGGTCCAGCTGGTACAGTCTGTACTGATGTAAGTACTTCCTCTGGTGTGAGATGCGATGACCAGTCCTGGTCCAGCTGGTACAGTATGTTCTGATGTAAGTACTTACTCTGGTGTGAGATGCGATGCCCAGTCCTGGTCCTGTAAAGTCTGTACTGATGTAAGTAATTACTCTGGTGTGAGATGTGATGACCAGTCCGGGTCCAGCTGGTACAGTCTGTACTGATGTAAGTACTTCCTCTGGTGTGAGATGCGATGACCAGTCCTGGTCCAGCTGGTACAGTATGTTCTGATGTAAGTACTTACTCTGGTGTGAGATGCGATGACCAGTCCTGGTCCAGCTGGTACAGTATGTTCTGATGTAAGTACTTACTCTGGTGTGAGATGCGTTGACCAGTCCTGGTCCAGTACAGTCTGTACTGGTGTAAGTACTTACTCTGGTGTGAGATGTGATGACCAGTCCTGGTCCAGCTGGTACAGTCTGTACTGATGTAAGTACTTACTCTGGTGTGAGATGCGATGACCAGTCCTTGTCAAGTACAGTCTGTACTGATGTAAGTACTTACTCTGGTGTGAGATGCGATGACAAGTCCTGGTCCAGTACAGTCTGTACTAATGTAAGAACTTACTCTGGTGTGAGATGTGATGACCAGTCCTGGTCCAGCTGGGACAGTCTGTACTGATGTAAGTACTTACTATGGTGTGAGATGTGATGACCAGTCCTGGTCCAGTACAGTCTGGACTGATGTAAGTACTTACTCTGGTGTGCGATGCGATGACCAGTCCTGGTCCAGCTGGTACAGTCTGGACTGATGTAAGTACTTACTCTGGTGGGAGATGCGATGACCAGTGCTGGTACAGTACAGTCTGTACTGATGTAAGTTTTTACTCTGGTGTGAGATGCGATGACGAGTCCTGGTCCAGTACAGTCTGTACTGATGTAAGTTTTTACTCTGGTGTGAGATGCGATGACAAGTCCTGGTCCAGTACAGTCTGTACTGATGTAAGTCCTTACTCTGGTGTGAGATGCGATGACCAGTCCTTGTCCAGTACAGTCTGTACTGATGTAAGTACTTACTCTGGTGTGAGATACGATGACCAGTCCTGGTCCAGCTGGTTTAATCTGTACCCCAGACCTAGCATTGATTTGTCAATCTCTAAGGTGGTCTGTGAGAGAAAGGATAACAGTGTTAACATGACCCTCAGAAGTGGGTGTTTTTCACAATGTTTTCTTTGTTTACAAATCATTCTAGGTCAAACAAATAGTCCGGTTCTAGAAAGTGTTAAAAATGTATTGTTTTAAATAAAACTCTTTGGATTCATCTCAAAATATCTTCAATACCACAAGGCTCTTTTCACTGTGAAAAAAGAAAACTTGCACTGTACTGATTTCAATGATGCAAGACATAATTGTTTGTAAAATGCAATATACTTTACTACAGTAAATATAAGCAGCTCAATTTAAACCTTGTGTGTATATTTTTCAGTTTCCAATTTTGCCATTTCTATGTAAATGTGAATTATCTTATAGCTTGTCAACTTTACAGCAATTCAACAACAAAAAAACAATGCTTTGCAAAGTACTGACTTGTTGAGGAAGAGTGTAAGAAAGAACTGTTCAGAATAGAACTAAAATAGAAGATTGATTTAGCACTGTTTCTCCTTAGTTATAAAGCCATATAAATGTTTCTTTTTCAAACCTGATGACCAGAAAACACTTTCCATATTTAGCGCTTTTGAAAGACTTACCGGTAATATGACAAATACCATATTAACTTTCATCAAATATATAGAGGATCAAAAGAACTTTCTAAACAAGGGAAAGAAAGCAAAAATTCTAGTATCTGGTAATAAAGGCAGAAGCCACTTAAAACAGAAAACATGGGAGAAATATGGACACCTGCTCTGCTGCAGTTAACATACAAACTGTTTTTGTTTGAGCTGACAGAGACACGTGACATCGTCCATCAGTAGTCTATACAAGGACTGGGCAGCCTCCCGCACTATGGGAAAATACCTGAGAAAATATAGAGACACAGTATCAGTCTTCTGAACAATGGGAAAATACCTGGGGGAAATATAGATACACAGTATCAGTAAAACACACTATGGGAAAGTACATAGATAATTTTCATACAGATAAGAACAGCATCAGCCTTGCTTTCTATAGGAAAAACAAACACATTAGTGTACATTTCATCAACAAATCCTCTGATAATATGGGGAAATATCTGTCTAAAACATTAACTTGGTACAGCATTAACCTCTTACACCATGTGATAATACCCGGGGAATCATACATACTGCCGGAAGTGCAAGCCTCTCACATTCTGAGGAAAATATCTGTTTAAAATATATACTTACTGGTACAGTAACAAACACTACACTATGGGAAATTAACTTGCCAATTCAAATATATAGGTAGAGTACCAAGCTCTTTTTCACGGGGAAACATATGGCCAAAACAGACATCTTGGTACAGTGGTGAAATATACCTACTTTTCAAAGCTACTCTGGTAATGTAATTTGTATTCTTTTACTTCATCTCTGATCTGTCCAATCATCCTGTTCAACTGAAAGTAAAAGACATACTTGTATCAGAATGTTAGTCATAAATATAACTTGTCATGATGCTGTGTATAATCGGACCATTACCATTGTTATTTTCAAGCAAAATTCCTTTATTTAAATTAATGTTCAATATGTTTTAATATGTTTGCTATACAGTGTGTGTTTTATATTCATCATTTCTCACAGAAGAAAACATTGTGGAAAATTTTCCATTAATTCAGACAAGATATACTCAAATCCAGATCATCACACAAGTCAACATACCATTTCAGCTGGTTTAAACCTCTATTGGTGTTTTTATGGTAATACATGTGCCTAATATAATTTGAATCACTTTAATGATATTGAGTATTTCCAGTCTTGTTCATTTACAATTGAGAATAATAGAGGTAAACTGGTATATTATACATGCTGTGATCTGTGAGACATACCAATAGGATAAAAGCTGGTCTAGAGAGGCCAAACCAAAGTATTTATTTAGATAAATGAGGGGCAGTTTCCTAAAGAAAGGAAGCAGCATATGACCTCTACAAAGGTCAAACCAATGTAATTTAAGGTAAACAGAGAAGAGGTGCAGTTATTTATAAAGTGGCCAAAAGAAGGAGAGTTATTTCTAAAGAGGTCAAATCAGGGTAATTTACTGTACAGAAAAAGGAGAGGGCAACAAAAAATCTTAGCAGTTAAGTCAAGGTCATGTACAGTTCAGATAGGAAGGTCAATTATTCTAAACAAGTCAAATCAAGGTCATTTAAAGTGGAGAGAAAGGCAGAGCAAAACAGCTGGTAAATGACCATGGAAGGATGAACATTTTTTAATGCATGAGATTTATGGCTCATGTGGGGTGAGACACTTTTCAGCGCAAGTTAGAACGTTTCAGCGTGAGTTAGGACGTTTCAGCGTAAGTTAGGACATTTCAGCGTAAGTTAGGACGTTTCAGCGTAAGTTAGGACATTTCAGAGACTTGGCAACCCTGAAGGAGGGATCGGTTACAGTAGACAGAGAAAGCTGTATCTAGTTTTTGTCAGACATACCAACACTGGTGACAACTGCTCTGGAGAGGTCAAACCAAGGTCACTAACCACCACCATCTTGTGTTCCTTATAACATGTTGGAAAAATTTTCTGAAAACAAACAAAATTGAAAACAGTAAAGGGGTTTTCTGATGCCAAATCTCTGAAATTCATAATTTTTTCTAAGCAAACTCAAAACAGAAAATATCAGAGCTTTGAGCATAATTTTCTTTCTAAGGAAAATAGTTTAAGCCAAATATGATTTTAAGTACAAATTTTCTGTTTCATTTAAAAAACTTTTTTTTTGTGAAAGGATTCTTAGGAACAGCACTAAATACCTAGAAAAATATATCATTAACAAATATAGATGCAAAAAGTTATATGTAGTACATTTCCACCGGTTTCTATTCAGTAATGTTAATTACTATTAATATAATATTATAATATTAATCAATAACCATAATTGTGTATAGTTTCAGCTGAAAATTATCACCATAGTTTAGATATAAGAGAAATCTCACTTTAGATCTCAAGATGTAAGAAAACTGTCATTATCTTTCTTGGTGAACATTCTTTGACAGCAGGACAGATATTGCTAACACACCAACAGACCTGAACTTGTTTGAGTAGGAAGCTCTGTAGTGTGTCACTCCTGTGTCTGGTCAGGCTGGATTTGGCCTGTAGGGTAACAGTCATCAGTTCTATCAGACTTTCTGTACAGAAAAAAAGACGTACAACAGAAAATTAATATGATAGTTTATGATAGTTGCTGATGAGCTACTTCAGAAACATTAATTTTACTCAAAATATCCCCATTTACGCACAGAAAAAAAGATGAGCAAAATAAACAATATTTCCCTCTCTTCTCTGGACAGTTTACCAATATTTCCCTCTCTACTCTGGACAGATTACCAATATTTCCCTCTCTACTCTGGACAGTTTACCAATATTTCCCTCTCTACTCTGGACAGTTTACCAATATTTCCCTCTCTACTCTGGACAGTTAACCAATATTTCCCTCTCTACTATGGACAGTTTACCAATATTTTCCTCTCTACTCTGGACAGTTTACCAATATTTCCCTCTCTACTCTGGACAGTTTTCCAATATTTCCCTCTTTACTCTGGCTAGTTTACCAATATTTCCCTCTCTACCTTGGACAGCTTACAAATATTTCCCTCTCACTCTTGACAGTTTACCAATATTTCCCTCTCTACCATTGACAGTTTACAAATATTTCCCTCTTTACTCTGGATAGTTTACCAATATTTCCCTCTCTACCTTGGACAGCTTACAAATATTTCCCTCTCACTCTTGACAGTTTACCAATATTTCCCTCTCTCCTCTGGACAGTTTACCAATATTTCCATCTCTACTCTGGACAGTTTACCAATATTTCCCTCTTTACTCTGGATAGTTTACCAATATTTCCCTCTCTACCTTGGACAGTTTACAAATATTTCCCTCTCACTCTGGACAGTTTACCAATATTTCCCTCTCTACTCTGGACAGTTAACCAATATTTCCTTCTCTACTCTGGACAGTTTACCAATATTTCCCTCTCTACCATTGACAGTTTACCAATATTTCCCTCTCTACCTTGGACAGTTTACCAATATTTCCCTCTCTACCTTGGACAGTTTACCAATATTTCCCTCTCTACTCTGGACAGTTTACCAATATTTCCCTCTCTACTCTGGACAGTTTACCAATATTTCCATCTCTACCTTGGACAGTTTACCAATATTTCCCTCTCTACTCTGGACAGTTAACCAATATTTTCCTCTCTACTCTGGACAGTTTACCAATATTTCCCTCTCTACTCTGGACAGGTTACTGGAAATTTCTACATATGTTCCCTCTACTACTCTTGACAGGTTGTTTTTACAAATGTTCCCCTCTCTACTCAAGACAGTTTGTTAAATATAAAATCTCTGTACTCTGTGGACAATTTACTACAAATATTTCCATCTCTATCCTCTGGGCAGTATGTTGCAAATATTTCCCTCACTTCTCTGGAAAATCAATGATTTACTGAAGGTTTGCTATGTACCTAGAGCTTCTGCAGGCCTATTGTTGGGAAACAGAACCTTCATCTTGGTAAGTGTGGTGATCACTTGGGTCTCCAACGCATTGACACATTCCACAAGCAGGGTATGCTACAACACACAAAGGTGACGTACTGATATAACAAGTACTGTAAAATTGCTTCTGTGCTTTTAAACGTAAGACAACTTAACATACGTAAGTACAGACAGCACATTTTGTGTGTTGAACACCATCTAACATACCTCTTTCTTTACTAGCACCAGCTGAGCATCATTCTTGGGAATAGAGTCCATTAAACAGGTGAGAACAGCACAGGTGTGTTGCATAAACCAGACAGTTGGGTCAAAGTTCTTCGACAGGTATAACAGGTAAACAATCTTACGGTACAGCTCTCGCTAAAACACACATAAGTCACCCTAGTCATATTAATATGTTTAGTTATTGATTATACTTATGATATATTAAATAGAAATTGCCCTATTGGGCCCATTCCTCTGCTCCTCAGAGACGTCACACCCTCATTTTACAAAAACATGTAACCCTGTGACTACGTTATGCCTTCTACAACTTTACCACAGGTATCTGCAACAGGTGAGCTGAACAATATTTGAGAAGGTGACAGTGGTATGTTGGACAAAATTGTGTCTACACAGACATCAACATTCCATGATATTATCCACCCAACCCCCAACTTTATTACATTGTAAAATCTATATTTAAGACTAACTGTAATTGACCCTGCTATCAAAATAACAAGCTATTGAAAGGAACTTGTCTGTTTTTACTTGTATTCCATCCTCAGACTTACTATTCCATAGCGGAGGCCGAATTCCTTCAGAAGTCGGATAGAAGCTGAAGACAATGGAGAGGTAGGTCCAGGGGCATGCAATTCTCCCTCAAGACGATACGGGGACTCGTACCTAATGATTAAAGGTAGAAGTAAACAAGTGTCAGTCGGTACACAGTGATAAAGACCAATTCTAATGAGGACATTCCAGGTAGTTATGTTCTCTTTACTGATGGTTTCCATATCGAACCATAAAAAGCATGCTTTTGAAATGTTACTCAATCAAAATTATAAACAAAAATCTTAAATTTCCTTAAAGGGTAAAAGAATCTGATTGGTCCAAACAATTGATCATGCTTTTTTATAAAATAATTTAGAGCAAATTTTGAAAAGATGGAAGTTAAAGGTAGATCCCTTTAGGGCTATTCCAGTAAGACATCTATCTAACCCCAGGACTCCTGGTTTTATTTAGAGGTACCACCCATAGAACTTAATTAATAATTTAAACAGATGTAATTGGCAGGAAACCCAGTCATGGAGAGAAGTGATTTATAATGGAGTCCCAGGGTCAGATTTTTTTATTGGAATAACCCCTACTTATACTATCTAATGATGAGTCTGTTGTTCTATGCCTACCTGATAAGTCTCTCCATTAGAGCTCTGTAGTCATCGTGGATCGTTCGTAGACTGTGGATGTGACTGGTGGAAGGTGGCGGATATGTGAGGTGCCAGAATTTCTTCATCAGATCTGCGATGTGGGCAAATTCTCTCCTCTGCCACTTATCATAGCCCTGAGTATTCTGAAACGAGACATCAGTATGGTATTATATAGTGTAAAATCAAACATGTTCGGTCTCGTGTCACTGTAGACACCTGCGCTAGGAATGCTGATATATGTAATGACCTTACTTACCATGAATGAGTCTGGACTGTAAAACGGATTGCTATTTTTTTGCAATGCTGCCAGCTGTCCTACTAACTCTTCTGCCAGAATCTACACACAGACAAAATTTATAATTACATTTCAGAATTGTACTTGCCACCTGTGTAAAAGCATGTCCAGACAATGTTATCTTATGTTAATTTTTTTTATACATTTTAGTGTAAACTGATAATCTGTATGTACAATTGTAGAAGTTACTACACATATGTCTGGCAATGCTAGTCATAGTGTATGTATAGACTCAGATCAACACATGTAATAACAGGTAGTTTATCATCAACTTAGATCACATGACCACTAAAAATAAAATAGTGTTAATGACTTTACATTTGGTGTGCAAAAGCGTTTAGAGCACCTCAATCATGAAACTAAACCTATTTTCACTTCTTCATTCAAAAGAATTCTTAAGTAATTGAAAAGATATCAAGATAAATATACTAAGTATATGATTAACAATATTGAAATTTATGGTAATGTCAGAGGAGCTGGAGCAGTATACACTATGTCTCCATATACCTTTTCTGCCTGTTTGTTGCCATAGTTTTGAGCAATTCTTTGTTCATATTGATGGAATTTCTCAGGGACCAGGCGAAAGGCCCTCATCAAAAGCTCCCGCAGTGTCTCAGCGGGGACAATGGATGTATCATCCTGTTCGTCCACCCCGCTGTCGTGAGGGGTCGGACTTCGCACTCTGCCACTGTATGTGAACCTGGGCAAAATAACCAAATGAGATTCATACTGCCGAGTACAGAAATAAATCTTGTCCTAAGAAAAATCATCACATGCTATTATGATTTTTTACCATTTTACATTTATAGAATACATTTTATTTATGTATTAAGTGTATATTTCTACTTAATGCTTTCTCTGGTCATAAGCCATGATTTTTTATGATTAGTTATCAGTTGGCACAGAAAGTCCATAAATTATTTAAACATAAGAATAAGACATTGTAGTTGTTTGTCTATGGTGTACTTATTATTTTTCATGCTGTTTATTGGTGTCTATGGGTGTGGGGACCCATTTATTGGTGTCTATGGGTGTGGAAACCCATAGACACCAATAAATGGGTATCCACACCTATAGACACCAATAAATGGCTCTCCACACCTATAGACACCAATAAATGGGTCTCCTCACCAGTAGACACCAATAAATGGTTCTCCACATCCATAGACCCCAATAAATGGGTCTCCTCACCAGTAGACCCCAATAAATGGGTCTCCTCACCAGTAGACACCAATAAATGGGACTCCACATCCATAGACACCAATAAAGGGGTCTCCACACCCATAGCCACCAATAAATGGGTCTCCAAACCCATAGAGACCAATAAATGGGTCTCCAAACCCATAGAGACCAATAAATGGGTCTCCTCACCAGTAGACCCCAATAAATGGGTCTCCACCCCTATAGACACCACTAAATGGGTGTCCACACCCATAGACACCAAGAAATGGGTCTCCACACCCTTAGACACCAATAAATAGGTCTCCACACCCATAGAGACCAATAAATGGGTCTCCTCACCAGTAGACCCCAATAAATGGGTCTCCTCACCAGTAGACCCCAATAAATGGGTCTCCACCCCCAAAGACACCAATAAATGGGACTCCACATCCATAGACACCAATAAATGGGTGTCGACACCCATTTATTGGTGACTATAGGTGTGGAGACCCGTTTATTGGTGTCTATAGGTGTGGAGACCCGTTTATTGGTGTCTATGGGTGAGGAGACCCATTTATTGGTCTCTATGGGTGTGGAGACTCATTTATTGGTGTCTATAGGTGTGGAGACCCGTTTATTGGTGTCTATAGGTGTGGAGACACATTTATTGGTGTCTATTGGTGTGGAGACCCATTTAGTGGTGTCTATGGGTGTGGACACCCGTTTATTGGTGTCTATGGGGGTGTAAACCCATTTATTGGTGTCCATGGGTGTGGACACCCATTTAGTGGTGTCTATGGGTGTGGACACCCGTTTATTGGTGTCTATAGGTGTGGAGACCCGTTTATTGGTGTCTATAGGTGTGGAGACACATTTATTGGTGTCTATTGGTGTGGAGACCCATTTCTTGGTGTCTATGGGTGTGGACACCCGTTTATTGGTGTCTATAGGTGTGGAGACCCATTTATTGGTGTCTATGGATGTGGAGACCCATTTATTGGTGTCTATGGGTGTGGAGACCCATTTATTGGTGTCAATGGGTGAATGAACTTACTTTTTGTTTGTATCTATGGGTGTGAAGACTGGGGAAGGTGATAATGCTGAGGGAGGCTCAGGAGCACCAAGGACGGGCAGGGAGGCACACACATACGCAAACCGGAACACTCTCAGCTCCTGTATAACACAGGCATAAAAACAATCCAACTTAGCCAAATTCAAAATGTACACGTTCTGAATTAATTTATATTTCTTACACACTTTATCTATTTAAATTTGAAATACAATCCCAGACCTTTACCAGAACTGCTGTTAACATGATACAGTGACACTTGTCATTGACAGATACCCGGTACACAGAACTGCAGTTAACATGATACAGTGACACTTGTCATTGACAGATACCCGGTACACAGAACTGCAGTTAACATGATACAGTGACACTTGTCATTGACAGATACCCGGTACACAGAACTGCAGTTAACATGATACAGTGACACTTGTCATTGACAGATACCCGGTACACAGAACTGCAGTTAACATGATACAGTGACACTTGTCATTGACAGATACCCGGTACACAGAACTGCAGTTAACATGATACAGTGACACTTGTCATTGACAGATACCCGGTACACAGAACTGCAGTTAACATGATACAGTGACACTTGTCATTGACAGATACCCGGTACACAGAACTGCAGTTAACATGATACAGTGACACTTGTCATTGACAGATACCCGGTACACAGAACTGCAGTTAACATGATACAGTGACACTTGTCATTGACAGATACCCGGTACACAGAACTGCAGTTAACATGATACAGTGACACTTGTCATTGACAGATACCCGGTACACAGAACTGCAGTTAACATGATACAGTGACACTTGTCATTGACAGATACCCGGTACACAGAACTGCAGTTAACATGATACAGTGACACTTGTCATTGACAGATACCCGGTACACAGAACTGCAGTTAACATGATACAGTGACACTTGTCATTGACAGATACCCGGTACACAGAACTGCAGTTAACATGATACAGTGACACTTGTCATTGACAGATACCCGGTACACAGAACTGCAGTTAACATGATACAGTGACACTTGTCATTGACAGATACCCGGTACACAGAACTGCAGTTAACATGATACAGTGACACTTGTCATTGACAGATACCCGGTACACAGAACTGCAGTTAACATGATACAGTGACACTTGTCATTGACAGATACCCGGTACACAGAACTGCAGTTAACATGATACAGTGACACTTGTCATTGACAGATACCCGGTACACAGAACTGCAGTTAACATGATACAGTGACACTTGTCATTGACAGATACCCGGTACACAGAACTGCAGTTAACATGATACAGTGACACTTGTCATTGACAGATACCCGGTACACAGAACTGCAGTTAACATGATACAGTGACACTTGTCATTGACAGATACCCGGTACACAGAACTGCAGTTAACATGATACAGTGACACTTGTCATTGACAGATACCCGGTACACAGAACTGCAGTTAACATGATACAGTGACACTTGTCATTGACAGATACCCGGTACACAGAACTGCAGTTAACATGATACAGTGACACTTGTCATTGACAGATACCCGGTACACAGAACTGCAGTTAACATGATACAGTGACACTTGTCATTGACAGATACCCGGTACACAGAACTGCAGTTAACATGATACAGTGACACTTGTCATTGACAGATACCCGGTACACAGAACTGCAGTTAACATGATACAGTGACACTTGTCATTGACAGATACCCGGTACACAGAACTGCAGTTAACATGATACAGTGACACTTGTCATTGACAGATACCCGGTACACAGAACTGCAGTTAACATGATACAGTGACACTTGTCATTGACAGATACCCGGTACACAGAACTGCAGTTAACATGATACAGTGACACTTGTCATTGACAGATACCCGGTACACAGAACTGCAGTTAACATGATACAATGACACTTGTCATTGACAGACTTGGTACACAGAACTGCTGTTAACATGATACAGTGACACTTGTCATTGACAGATACCCGGTACACAGAACTGCAGTTAACATGATACAGTGACACTGGTCATTGACAGATACCCGGTACACAGAACTGCAGTTAACATGATACTTTCTGTGTATAATCAAGTTGGTAAAGACATGCTTGGGCTAAAAGGGGAAAAAACATCAGTGAAGAAAAAAGTAAATTTTGATCTTAAAAGATTAAAATTCTTACTGTGTCATCCAGATCATTGACCCGTGTACTGTTGTCTGTTGCTGTCTTCATCATTGCACCTGTAACATAAGACAGTCACCTTCTGAATAACCAACAGTTCTAACAACATACATTGCTCCAGGCTTACAATGTCTGATGCAGAATAAAAACATTCAATAATTTTTGTTACATTCATGCTGATAAGATGTTATATCACAGGAGTGAAGGTGATCACCATGAAACTAACAAGTTGAATAATGTTGTTGTTTTTATAGTGAATTATCTCCCTTCCTCTACCAACTCGTTTGAATAACTATAACTAGTCAGCACCAAAACGGTTACGGAAACATGGGTTCAGGAGTTTTCCTCTCCTTTTCTTTAAATGATTTATATTAAGAGGGCTTCTGTATAACATTAGGTATGCTCCTGAAACCTAGAGGAAGACTGTAAATGGTTTATAAGTCAGGTAAATGTGGAATCCAGCAACACCTTACCTTCCTCTATACCCGAGTCCCTGCCATCATTCCTTACCTGTAACAGAACCAATACAGATCAATATGGGGAATTTGGACTGTTCAGATGAGTAAGACAATTATATATTTGAATTATAAGTTTTATAATACATGCAACTTTGTTTTTCTTTTGGTAAACAACAATAAAACAATCAAGATGTACCAGTGAAATATGTGGATTTATCTCATTTTAGTGTAATAATATTTTAGCACTTTTCACAATTTCATCAAAATTTTCTAAATCATGCTAAGCGCTAAATACGAAATAATTGTATTAAATCATTTTGTGTACAACTAAAACATTATCCACAAGTGAGGAAATATGACGGTTTTAATATAGGTATGTTTGTATTACACAAAAGATATTCCTGTGGAAAATTCTCTATGTTATACACTATACAAGAAGGATATGTTACCAGTCTGACTTGGTTGAATTTTGTCTTACAGCCAGTCAAGGACAGACAGCATTTCCTTTGCCTGCAAAAATAATAAAAATAAAAAATACAAATTTTGGATGATTACTCTTCTGACTTTACAGTATACTAATATAGTCACAACAGCTTCCCATTATTTCTGAAAATTTACCTGATCATAAAATGATGCTCCTTTATTTTCAAAACTAATGTACTGTTTTAGTTAAATTTCTTTTCAGGAGAAAAAACTACATGTATATATATTTATTTTACAACAATCATGAAACAAGTTCCGAACTAAATTCAACTTACATTAACCACAAGTGATTCAATATCTTTTCCAACTGAGTAATCAAACCGTAGACATCTTGTTGAAAGGTGGGTATACTAATTACCACTACTCAACCACCATTGTTTATAACTGATGGCCTCCAAAGTCCAGACTACCACAGGGATAACAAATCCCAACCTCCACAGGTCTTATAAAGTTCAAGTCTCAAATGGGTTCCAAAATTTAGACCCCAACATGTATTCAAAAGTCCAGGCCTCCTTTTTAGGGTCCTTCTAAAACGTCCAGGTCCTCATAGTGCCTCAAGGCATACAAAAGTCAAGGTATCCTCATCACTCGAGACTTCCAAACAATGTCAAACATTGAGGACTAGGGTCAGGAAACAATCTAGGCTGGTCTAGAATAGACTAATGTCTGCCTTTTCAGTACTATATCAAAATGCATTCTTTCATCTAAGTACTAAGTAGATGCACTCATATTATCAAAATTTAAAATATGGAGACATTTTCATGATTGGGATGCATTTCCACACGATCTCAAATGTCAAGGACCTAATCCCACCAACAGTTGCAGTCTGCATCAGACTTAACCCAAACTTAATCTCCCATAGACATAAGACACAAACTTAACCTCAAACTCAACTTAAGCCGGATTCAAATTACTGGAGTTTTTTCATATAATTCCTCTTAAGTCCTGATCACATTGGGTTTGAAATGTTCCAATATCACAGGGATTCAAAAGTCCAGATTCCACAGGTCCTTAACTCATTCACCCCTGAAGACGCATTTCAACTCTTCCAATTCCAAGGTTTGAATAGTCCATTATAAAATTTCAGGGGTGAACGAGTTTAATGTCAAGATCCCACACAAAAAATGTATTTTCCCATCAAATCATTTTTACAATAGTGTTCATACTTACTCCAGATCTCCAAAGTACCGGTGGATAGTCTTGATTGTTTTTCCATGCCTGTAATATATGTTTATTTTGTATGACTGAGAAAATTAAAACAATCCTGTTCAACTTAGTTACCATAAGCATTTCTCAGACATTCAATTTTAATTGAACAGACATTGAAATCATAGCACTGGAACAATCTGATTGAAATAAGATGTCCTTTTAAATTATTAGCACAAAATTGTACGTAGTAGACCTTATTGTTTGAGGGGAATTCTATTTAACATGGTTATCTCCCTTGGACCAGTATTGATTGTGCACTTCATGATGATCAACAGACAAACAACAAATATATATATATGTTTATCTGTGTTGCTGTAACATTTAGTTATATATATATATATATATACATGTATATAGTCATTGCAATTTTGACCGATGATTAAATAAAATTATTGACAGAAACGATGTAATGCAGATTACACATAATTTGCCTGTCAATGTCCCAGGACTTAGAAGATGTACAATATCATACAAAAACTATGCTTATCATAAATATACTAAACATTCACATTCAAAATTTGTGCAAGTACATTCATTGACCCTTTCCTGTAATAATTCCTCAATAAAACAAATATTCATCAAATGTTGATCCCATTTTTTTCCTATATATACATTTGATGACTCACAGATAGTTACAGTGATTCTGGACGTTACCATTTACTTTAATCATGACCAATTCTGTAAATAGTTTTTAATGATTTGACTCACCTGAGGAGACGGCTACCTGTATCAGGTGTGTGGAGGTTGAACTCGTTACTATCAGACAGGTCAAGGCGTGTCCACAGCCGCTCCTCACTCTCAGCTATCAGTTGTAACACAGGCCTAGGCTTCAGCAGCTGAGGGGCTGGAGTCCTTGGAGTAGCCATGGTGATACAGGTGAATCTAAATCTCTATTTCATCTATAAAGATCAAACCATTGACAAATGCAATGTTTTCTTTACACTGAATGTTTGTTGTGAAACACCAAAATGACAGTTTTATTTCAGATTATCAATTCACATATATACAACACGACACTACATACCGGTAGATATATAAATATATACACTGCTATTTAAAGTTCAACACCCATTGTATGTAGGCAGAACATACGTAACAATCTATTGTATTACATAGCAGTGTGATAGCTGATAACAAAATCATTGACACAAACATTTATATCACAACAGGTACATCAAGAGTAAATGTTCTGTTGTTATCTGGATAAACAAACAAGTACTTTTGTAACTTTAGTAAGAAATAAACTCTTCTAAAAAATTATATATGGCATTGCATTATTATATCACATAACAAATAAGCTTGATATCATCAACCACAGCAGCATTAAGATCGCAAAAAGAGAGATAATACGGTGAGAAGAAATGGAATGAGGTCAATTGTTGGCAACCAAGTAGCTCAATTGGTAGAGCGTGCATCATCTGTCTATAGCTCAGAGGGTTCCATGTTTGAATCCTGGTCTGGCTGCCACTGTCCTTTTCTCCTGTTACAGTGAGGCTTGTGACCAACACTTGTTTCAAGAACTAGGTGAATGCTTGGCAAGGAGATATTAAAATCTGTGTTGCAAATAGTTTTGTCAACAGGGACAAAGACTAATTGAGAAAAAGGAGAGTTATCAGCGACCTATTTGCTCAGTTTTACAGCCAATACAAGCTGTTTCTCCTAGCTTAAAAATGCCTTATTTTCCCAAAATGAACAAAAATGAAGAATAAATTCACAATTTCAGTAAAAATAATGCTATATTTTCTCAATTCAAAAAGGAACAGGCTGCTGTAAAATCCATGTTAAAAAAATCCTCTACTGTTAGTGTTACAATTGTATTAAAAGCAGGCATCACTTTTTCAGACGCAACCAGAATGACATATTCTAGCAGATATTACACTTTATCAAACTTAATTATGAGGCTAGGATTGCTGTGTGAGATCCCTCTTAAGTGTACTTATTTCTCCTTGTTTATCGGTGCTAGCGAAAGTTATCAACACTGACAACAGTCAAATAAATATTAGTGTTTAATTTATGAACAAATCGATCAAGATATTTGAAGTCATCTAATGAATATACATTCAAAGATTAGAAACAAGACAACAAAGGATCGACTGAATGACGCTTTCCGTGTATAAATCAAATTTGGGGTATTTTTCAGATTTTGGGTTAGAATATTGGCATGAACATTTTACTACATTTTGTAGAACATATTGTACTTCCTGGATATTTCCGATAGATAAAATGCAAACCTATAGAATAGTAAGATAAGACTGCCTCCCAGTAACGTGTTTGTGTCTTACATCTATTGGTGAAGCCCTTCCCACTACTCCAAACTTGTAAATTCCATTTTGACAGGAAGCCATCGGTGTGTCGCCATTTTGTTCGCACAAAAATAGTCACATGATACAGTAAAAAATAAAAATAAAATAACAAGTGGGTAAAATTTGTTACTGTACACTAGTTGTAAGAACTATCAGGAAATATAGTATTTCAATTTCCAAAATAAATAAGTTAACGATAGAATAGTTATTTCTGTATTTGAAAAATTAAAGGTCAGTATAAAATTGGAAACGGCACAATAACACTATGAACGAAACAAAGTACGAAGCGGTCTGTATTGATACGTTATCATGTACGTGCATTTTTCACCTCAACATCCTTACTAATCACTGCAATTTAAAGAATCTCCTTTTGCAAATAGGCATGTTTATTTGGTGGTTATCTGATGTATTGTCAAAATACACCACGTAATGTTAGTAATATAAAATAACTTTATTGTGAGCTTTTTTAAATCGTGATCTTAAATGTGTTTTTTTACACCTTCTATTTTAAGTCCAGTGGTTAGATGATGTTCACGTGTGTTAATGGAAGATTTCAATGCGTTTGCAATCTTGATTTTATTATATATAAGAACGTTACACGATACAAGATACAAGAATTTTTATTTAGAGTCGTATATATGTTGTAATGGAAATATTAGCTTTGTAGCGCTATCATTACGACAAACAAATGTATAAAAAAGGATATTTAAGACAACATGCAGAAAACAACAGGCATATAACAAGGTTTATACACACAAAAACATGAAAAAATTGAATCACAGCACAGTAATTAAAACAACAACTTGGCACGTACAGTATAAACTATATATAAAAAGCTATATTAAAATTGATGCTGCACAAAAAATTAATGCCACATGTTCGAAAACTAAAAAAACATATAAAAAAAAAATGGTTCAGTATATACATAAATGCCAATATGTACGCTAATATAGCATAAATTAAAACGATGATTTGACAAGCATTGAGTAAGACATACAATGCGTAAATAAGAGCACTAAGCAAAATATGAAAGGAAGTAAAAGCATAGAAGCATGGTATCACAAGACATGGTAAAAACTAAGTATAAAAATGATAAAAGGTTGGCACAAACAACAAAACTAGTACCATATGGCGCAGGAACACAACTGGTTCACAACGTTGTGAAACATTGCTGATTGTATACCGAATGACAAAATATCGTAGCTATATTGTTCATTTATCGATTTCATGATTTATTCTAATTATTTATGTATTTCTTGTTTTCAATATATCGATCCTGACACGGGTACAGGACTACACTAGTTTGAGATTAAAGTCTCCTGCCATAGGAAATTTCAATCCGATAAACCCTAATCAATAGTTTAATCTGCAGGGGTTGACTAGATAATAATAGTAGCTAGCGTGCTAACCGTCCTACCAGAGACTTACAGACTGATCGGCCGACTGAATAGTCTGAGACTTAATGGTCATGCTAGTTCTTTTGTTTAGTTTAGTTTATTGGCCTTTAGCCTTTCGGCTAATCAGCATAAACATTACAATACATATTGCAAAATTGAGTGAGTGATACACAGCAATACAGACATGTTATGGAGGATGGACAATATACATGTAATTATTCATTTGATCTCAGTTGTGAAGCAGAAATTAAAAATTTGGAAAGATTATTCAATTTCTTCTTATTTCTAACAGAAAGTAAGTTAATTAATTTAAACTTAGAGGGTCTAATTCTGTAATATCTGTCAATGTATTGTGTTCTTACTTCGTTGTAAAGTGGACAAACAAGAATAAAATGCAATCGTCCTCTATATCGCCTAAATTACACTTTAAACATATAGTCTTCCATTACGAGGTATTCTCTCATATCTGCCCCTTTCTATACGAAGGTCGTGTGAAGATAATCTAAATTTCGCAATGGTTAAAATACAAGATTCAGGAAAAGATTTACAAAGATAATACTGAAGACAATTAACCTCGGGCAGACATCTATATAAAAAAAACATTTCGTAGAGTTTACTAGTTAGATACCGATAATTAACATTACCGCGGATTTGTACATAACGCACATTTTCATACATTGATAAAAAGCAACAAATAAACAATAAATAAATAATGAAATGTAAAACAAAAAATGATTGAATTAATTATATAACAAACAGAAAAACAATCAATTTAAAAGTTTTCTTACAGCAGAAAATATGTTTTTTATTACAATTTCGATTGAGCCAGGCGACATAAAGAGTTGCTATGTTATATGTTACAATTTGACTCTTTGCTGTTTTCTCTTATTTCCTTAAACAAGAGTTAATCAAGAGTTTATCAACACATTTACATGTAATGTCTATAATTATGGATACCTTGGGTAACGCCTTATGTATACAGGTTATGTATACAGGTGATCTCTAATGTATACAGGTGATCTCTAATGTATACTGGTGATCTCTAATGTATACAGGTTATCTCTAATGTATACTGGTGATCTCTAATGTATACAGGTGATCTCTAATATTGCAGGTGATGTCTTATGTATACGGGTGATCTCTAATGTATACAGGGGATGTCTTATGTACACAGGTAATGTCTAATGTATACTGCTGATCTCTAATGTTGCAGGTGATGTCTTATGTATACGGGTGATCTCTAATGTATACAGGGGATGTCTTATGTATACTGGTGATCTCTAATGTATAAAGGTGATCTCTAATGTATACTGGTGATCTCTAATGTATAAAGGTGATCTCTGATGTATACTGGTGATCTCTAATGTATACGGGTGATCTCTAATGTATACAGGGGATGTCTTATGTATACGAGTGATCTCTAATGTATACAGGTGATGTCTTATGTACACAGGTAATGTCTAATGTATACGGGTTATCTCTAATGTATACAGGTGATGTCTTATGTACACAGGTAATGTCTAATGTATACAGGTGATGTCTAATGTATACAGGTGATGTCTTATGTATACGGGTGATCTCTAATGTATACGGGTGATCTCTAATGTATACAGGTGATCTCTAATGTATACTGGTGATCTCTAATGTATACAGGTGATGTCTTATGTATACTGGTGATCTCTAATGTATACAGGTGATGTCTTATGTATACGGGTGATCTCTAATGTATACGGGTGATCTCTAATGTATACAGGTGATCTCTAATGTATACTGGTGATCTCTAATGTATACAGGTGATGTCTTATGTATACTGGTGATCTCTAATGTATACAGGTGATCTCTAATGTATACGGGTGATCTCTAATGTATACGGGTGATCTCTAATGTATACAGGTGATCTCTAATGTATACTGGTGATCTCTAATGTATACAGGTGATGTCTTATGTATACTGGTGATCTCTAATGTATACAGGTGATCTCTAATGTATACGGGTGATCTCTAATGTATACGGGTGATCTCTAATGTATACAGGTGATCTCTAATGTATACTGGTGATCTCTAATGTATACAGGTGATGTCTTATGTATACTGGTGATCTCTAATGTATACAGGTGATGTCTTATGTATACGGGTGATCTCTAATGTATACAGGTGATGTCTTATGTACACAGGTAATGTCTAATGTATACAGGTAATGCTTAATTATAAAGGTAATGTCATATTATATTGATGCTATCTTGTGTTATCCTATGTATGTAGACGATGTCTTATGTATATCTGTGATATCTACTCAACTAGAACACCATGCTAACTGGTGATTAGGTAAAATATTAGTAATATTAGTAAAAAAGCGACAATATAATCTACCAATGGTTACAATGTCAAGGAAAGCTTGAACTAGATGCAAGCAATATGTGACATAGAATAATAAGCTTTGTTAAACAATAACGAACAACAGAATAAATTAATCTCATGGCAATAATTGAAGACGGAAAATAATAAAGAGATCAACTTTCACTCTCTTTAGAAACAACACTTTTAATTTAATGTACATACATTATTTCACTCCCGAACACGTTTAAATTTGAAAATGTCACTCACATATGTACAATATACACATAAAAATTACTTATTAACATAAGCATTTATAAAACATACACAGACAGAATATAAATATCAAGTGCATAATAAATAACAGTAATGTGACAGTAGCCCGCGGAATAATACGAATACAATAAAAATAAATGATCATTGGATATTCACTAATTTTAATATCAGTATTGCATATATCATCTAATATTTTCTTGAAAACGTAAATATAAACCATATGTTCTTTAAGTCAATAAAAAATATTAAAACGTATACTAAGAAATGATTCCCGACAATCTCCTGTAAACCTGTCCCCACATGTTATTTAGGATAAGTTTATCCGGCTATATACAAGTGAATTATAGGACCTGTTATGTCACGCTCCCCAGTGTTCGGAAATTGTAGAGCTGTAGATAATATTTGTAGGAATTATGTGAGTAGAACTTCTACTAACATTTCAAGACGTTTGCCTGTGTGTGAATAAATATGGGAAGTTCCAACTTAGCTATACGGTTTGAGTTTAGACGACATTTTTACAATGTGATAAATTAATCTTGATGATTACGGGGTTTTCCATTTTTCTCAGAATTTTACATAACAATATATTTATCCCTGAAAGACAGGTGAAACTATAAGCAGCCTTCACGTGTTTCTAAAAAAATGCGTTATGTTAAAATCAACTGTGTTTTACATAAAACTTTTCATGTAAAGGCGAACAAAGCATGATACTCTTCTGATGAGCTAGAATATATAGCTCGAACCGCTGAGCTATAGAGAGTCGCTGGTTAAAATAAAGTCGATATAAGGGGAACGTGGCTAGATAAGGATATCCGCTCACAGGTCAAAACTAAAAAAGGAAGATATTATAAGATAGGATATGATATCATATCTGATTGAGTGTTCAATGATCGAGGAAATGCAGATTTGTTTTCACTGAATGTCCTGCATTTTTAAGATCCAAGGAAAATATAATGTCATATTTTTGATATTTATTAAGGGTGGGGGAATACATAATGGTGTAGGTGAACGCACTTACATGGACATTTTCCAGGAATTCGTTGGACAAAATACATACCA